AGACAAATAAAAGACACTAAGACAATGCCAGGTAAGCACGAAGCCAGGTAAGCCACAAAACAAATGTAAGACACACATACAGTGCCAGGTAAGCACGAAGCCAGGTAAGTGACAAGACAAATAAAATACACGTATACAATGCCAGGTAAGCACGAAGCCAGGTAAGCAACAAAACAAATAAAATATGCATAGACAGAGTTAGGTAAGCACGAAGCCAGGTAAGCGACAAGACAAATAAAAGATGCATAGACAGAGTTAGGTAAGCACGAAACCAGGTATATACTTATATTAATATAGGAGTAAAAGCAGAAAGATATAACTATATAAGTTATAAAGAAAACCAAGTAGACTCAAAGCATGGAAGAAAATTAAATCGATAGATCCAGGTAGACAAGAAGCTAGGTAAACAGGAAAAAATTAAATAGAAGGACAGAGCTAGCTATGTACTAAACTAAATAAGCAGGAAGCTAGATAGGCCGGAGGAAAAGCGGAGAAAGAGCCAATTAAGCATGAAGAAAAATAACCAACTATGCACGAAACTAGATAGCGGATGATGATTAATCACTCTACACTCGACTGTCACGTGACTTTTTCAACCCGTTCTCTAGCTGGTCTTGAACGACTATTCGAAACCCTAACCCTATAATCTGATCCCAACCCTAACTCTAACCCAATCCTTAACAAAAGCATTTGCTGAAACCCTAACCCTAACGAGAAATTAGACTAACTTCCTTATACGGTCATATCACGTGATCGAGACAGTTTTTCGCCAATATCTCGTCAGGGGAGCATTTTAACCCTATGTCATGGGGGTGATTCGAAATCAGTGTACGAAAATACATCGATTGTAGTTGGTTTCATCTGTAGGGGGCACTTTTAGAACAATCTCGAAGATCGACTGTAGAGTGATTTAGCATGCTCGCTAGATAGCCAGGTAGACAAGGAGCCATCAGCCAGTCATGGTGATGAGACAATATATTTTATAATAATAGAAAAGCATTCTGCGAACTAAACTGAATGATCCTACAAGTACAATTTTACCTTTTTCTGTTGCTGTTGATTTCAGGTTTTTCACAAATGCTGACAAGCTTCTCCTCAGCTAGATGAGAAATTGATGGTCTTGACAAACCTCCGTTTGAAAGTGTGCAGATAAATGAAATTGTAACGAAATGTTTGTATTGGTAGATAAAATGGTTATTTGCAACCATAATTTTATAATCATTGCTTACGCCCACGTGCAATAATGCTGTGCAACTCATATTCACATAGTTGCCTTGACAACCTCGCGCGCACGATTGTTTGCGGAGGGAGTATTTGTTAAAAATTGGCCAAATCCAAGCTCCTAGCTATATCCCTATGCGCGGCGCTTTTTTTCAGACGCGCGCACATGACAGGCTCGTAAAATAAAACGATATTTGAGCTGTTTATGCTTTAGGATTCGACTTATTTTTGATTTTAATAAGTAATCGTGAAGATAATATAAAGATTTGAAGTAAAAATTTGTGCACCTTAACTTTGAATACTTATAGTATATCACGGGCCATCTACTTAGGACGTCCGGCAAATATGAATGATTGATGATGAAGGAAGAGTGGTTTTGGAATTTCGGACAAATCCAGACCGAGCGTGTTAAATCACTCTACAGTCGATCTTCGAGATTGTTCTAGAAGGGCCCCCGACAGTAGAAACCAACTTCAATCGATGTATTTTCGGACCCTGATTCCGAATCACCCCCATGACATAGGGTTAAAATGCTCCCCTGACGAGATATTGGCGAAAAACTGTCTCGATCACGTGATATGACCGTATAAGGAAGTTAGTCTAATTTCTCGTTAGGGTTAGGGTTTCAGCAAATGCTTTTGTTAAGGATTGGGTTAGAGTTAGGGTTGGGATCAGATTAGAGGGTTAGGGTTTCGAATAGTCGTTCAAGACCAGCTAGAGAACGGGTTGAAAAAGTCACGTGACAGTCGAGTGTAGAGTGATTAATCATCATCCAATCCAGACAGGAGGGGGTTGGTTTCTAAAAATCTGTACGTCCGAAAATTTTGGCAGAATTAACGGAAAAATCCGATCCCATTTACTTTAACTCTTTGACACGTACCAATTACTTTGTAAGTTTATATTCCTGTATTATATTTTAAACGAGTACTCAACTCACAAATGCATACTTACATGTAACTGTGCTGAACTTGTTCGACACTGAGTGTATTATTTTTTATTTTAAGTACCTAACTACTGGGCCGCGCTCAGCCTGTCATTCCGCCGAATCTCTATTATGAACATTTTAATATATATAAAGCGAGACGATATATATATGTATTAAACTGGAATTAAACTGGAATTAAACTTAAATAGTCAGAGGGAACACTAACGAACCCGTCGTGACAATACATCAATGAAATAAATAACATAATTATAAAAAATCATAAATAAGACCCAAAACACGTAAACAAATTAACTTCACTACAATCTGTACGAAAAGGAAACAAGATCAAATATAATAATTTAACCGGATTAAAGTGGGTAATGCACCGATAAAGTAATAAATTATGCAGGAGAGGTTCATAAAATTCACAAAGTTACTCCAAAAGTCAAAAATACACTATCAAGAAAGATTACACACAAACTCAAAGACGGGCGTAAATTATGCAACTGTAACTCCGAATGAAAACAGTTCGAACACTCATTTAAGGGACACTGGGGTAGTTAGAATGTCCTTAAGTATGTATATATCCGTGCCATTTTACTGACACCACGGCATCAACTTTAACGCAACTTTCCGCAAAAACCGTAAAAGATGTACAACTGAAACTTTTTTGACTGGGTCAAATGCTTTAATGGCCTTCAAATCAGCATGAAAAAATACAAAATTGGCCAAGGAATAATAATTTTAGTGCCCAAAATTTGGACTCCCAAGTGGTGTCAAAAACGCGAATTAAATAGGTAATAATTATTTTAGTCTCTCGAGTCTTGACACCACTTTAGGGTTAGACGGGTTCCTGCTAGTAAATATAATAGCCTGAGGTCCCCCCGTAATTACTCGTCTAAATTTCTTCGAAGTAGCGCGCGCCGCTTTCTTCTCGAAATGGCCCGATTGCAAGTGCTTAGTGCTACGAAGTAGCGTGCGCCGGGCCAGACCATTAACAATGCACAATGGTCAACTAGAAATCCGGACGTCCAGTTGATTCACGATGTCAATCCTTCGCATCTCGCCGATCTGGTTGCGAGAAGCATTATTTGATGCGCGCGCGACCCAGTAGTGCATCGCGCTACAAGACGTCCAGGGGAGGGGTGGTTTTGAAAATTCGGACACACCCGGACAGGGGGTCAGGGGGAGGGGGTGGTCTGTAAATCTGCGATATTGGCGGACGTCCTACATAAGTAGATGGCCCCTTACCATCAAAATCGAAATCAGCATGTCTACTTATGTACACCGAACAGTCGAAATCTAATCGCGCGCCCATGATACGGCCGCGCACTCAGCGGGCCTACAAGTATAACGTGAGGCAAAACTTTCCAGGGAAGCATTTTTACCCTACGTCATGGGGGTGATTCGGAATCAGCGTCCAGAAATACACCGATCTAGATCACTTTCATGCCTGAAGGGCCTTTTCACAAGAATTTTCATAAAATTTGGGCGAGCGATTTAGTAGGAGCGCAAAAATACACCAATGTCAGATGTAGATTACTTTGATTTACTGGGCCGCGCTCAGCCTGTCTGCTGTCATTCCGCTGAATCTCTATTACATATTATGAAAATGATAGCCTGAGGTCCCCAGGTAAACTTTGATACTCAGGGCCTTTTCACAAGAATTTAATTAAATTTGGGCGAGCGATTTAGTGAGAGCGTCGCCGATTCGACGCGAACTATCATTCTTCATTCATCATTCTTGCTTCGCAAGATAGTTGCTCGCAGAGCAACGATCTCGAAGGGTTGACATCGTCAATCAACGCATCAAATAATGCTTCCCGCGACCACCACCTTCGTTAGATCGGCAAGACGCACCTGCATGCAGTCAACCCACTGTTTGGCAGACAGTTCGCAGTAGTTTGTGTGAATGTGTGTGGTAAGTTCTGCGTTGTGGGGCAAACCCAGCCCACATATTCTTCAGAAATGTCCTTCAAGTATAGCCCTGAGACTATTATCGTGAATTAAACACGTTCACTAAAGATCAAGATTTTCCTTAGTCATCTTCTTTAGTTTGAAAACTTTTAGCTTGAAGAAAATACACGTTTTTAAATTCATTGTGAGTCACCACAAATGTGAACGACGATTTTCTAAAAATTCCATTATCATATTGTAATATACAAATACTATAAAACGACAAATTAAACAAATCATTTTACAAATATAATAATAATTTAAGGTCTCTCCTCTAACCGTCAAATGTTTGTCTCTTGTGAAAGCAAAACAAGTTCTTCTCGTACTTTTCAGACACTTAGTGGATCCAAAGACAGCACAGATCGAACTGGCCTCGACGACATAAAAATAACGGCTAAAATTCACGAAAATAGCACAATTAAAATTAATAAGTTAATCCTGGTGCTGTTAACGGTTAATAGGTGTAGGATGGGGTGTGTTCAATGTCCAACATGAAATTCATATATTGGGGTATGCAGTATAAATGCTTTAAAAACGGTAAAAAGGTAAAACGTCAAGCTACAGTCAACGCGCAGATACTAGTTAAAATTTCAAATAAAATAAATATAATCAGTGTAAAGTTTAGGCACATGTTTTGGGGTAAACTGCCTTGTGGTAATAAACGATTGCTGAGCACTTCATTCCATCGAAGTGATCAGAGTAAGAAGAATTTACTCAACATTTCCCACTCTGTACATTCTAACTTCTCCTCAACAAATTCTACGCATTCCAAGGATTGACCGAGTGTTAGTTTTCTCATGTGAAATGTCACAGCTCCTTTTAGAATTTGGTTGTTGAAGCATCTGACAAACAACAAGAAGATCTCTCTCTCTCTCTCTCTCTCTCTCTCTCTCTCTCTCTCTCTCTCCCTCTCTCTCTCTCTCTCTCTCTCTCTCTCTCTCTCTCTCTCTCTACCTCTCTCTCTCTCTCTCTCTCTCTCTCTCTCTCTCTCTCTCTCACTCATCACCACCGTAAACTGAAACCCATCCCATTCTCAAACCGTCAACTCTGGTGGACCAGCCACGAATCTTCGCAAATCTCAACGCAAATCTCATCGTACTTTGCCGTTCTTCGTATCATCTTCCCCTCACTTCGTATCTTCCCCATTGCTAAAACTAGATTCTGATCTGATTTATGACGTCACGTGGTGTGTACCACGTGACTAAACGTGAGTTCACGTTGTTTCAAGTAGTTGGGGGTTGTTAGCGAGTCTGAACATCTCGGGTAGGTAGGGGTCACACAGTTCCAACAACACCACCTGGGGACAGTTGCCCAGGTGCTGGTGTAGGAGCTCTGCTATGTGGTTTATTATGTGGTTCTTCATGTTGCACACTGCTTCCGACGTTTCCTCCATCTCCAGCGTGTTCTGAAATTGTAATTGTTAACTTTTTCTTACTATTGTACCTCAGTTTTTTAATCAGTCCTAGTTGGTTATAAAAACTTGTTTAAAATACTTAAGTGAAAACAGTCATCAAATCTTGGGGGAGTCGCCTTCTTTTGACGAGCAGGGGGGGGGGGGACCTATCATATATTCTAGATTAATGGTTAAACATTCTCAATAATTTTACTAAACAAACCTCTAAGTAGTCAAGAGTGTCGTTCATACATGATTTGTAGCCTTCTATGTAGTATAGCAGGTTCATAACATGGTCCGTAAACTCATCGTAAACTCCCGAACTTTGCTGAAACACGTTAAGGTTAATTATTAACATTATTATCAACAGATGATATTATTCTTGTTCACGTATTCGTTACATTAGAAATCTTTCAACTCAGCATTCCGTATGTGATTATAGTTCTGACACTCAACAAACAATCGACCAAAATCCCGGTCAAAATTAGCCCATTCTCTAACCCGGTAGAAATTTTCAATTTTTTCTGGATCAAGCCAGAATTTTTCAGGTATTTTTTCTTTTAAAAATATGTGCAGTGCAGGAATTGTAACTTTTCCTTTATGCACCAAGTCACTGAGTTCCTGATTACGTTATTTGTTGTTACGCACCAGTCACCTACTGCAGAGTTATTAAAATGTAACAGTTCAAGTTGTGAAGTTGTGAAGCTTTGTCTAGCTCTGACTTAATGGACGGTATCACTGCTATCAACAACTTTTTAAAGAGCTCACTGGTCATTCTTCGCTGGCGAATAACCCACAAATTCCAAGATATAGGTACATTGTACGAGGACTCCTTTCAATTTTCCATAACATTTTGTAAGATTCATATAAGTTATAACTAAATTTTATCTTACTTATATATTAAGATATTTTTGTGAATGAGAATTACTCAGGCGACATTGGTTATCACGTTTAATATATTGGCCTCAAAATTCGATCCCAGTCGACCCTCTCATTCAACAAACAAAGAAGATAAACATTTCTTGAAGACCTACTACAGTTAACAAGACATTTGTTAACAAATAAACACAATATATTGTATATTGGAGCTCATAATCAAATCGCGACTAACATCGCAGTGAATAAGATGATGGAAAGAAGGCGATGATTAAGAAAAACAGCATAATTAAAGAAGAGTAGAGTAGACATTTTATTACCTGTGTAATTTTATAACAAATCCTGAGTAGAGTAAAATACTGTAGTGTGAGGTCCAACACGACCTCTTGGTCTGCATCTGCGGTGGAGTAGGGCAAGAAGAAATCTTGTAGGTCTCGGATAAATTCTGCGTCAGGGCTTTCTTCTTCTTCCATTCCCCATTTGTACATACACGCACGTGTGTAGCGAGGATACTGCACGTGCTGTCGCGCGCCCTACACGTGTGTTGCTATGGTAACACGACAAGTAGGATGTGCAAGTCAGTGATAGTGCTTTTAGGTGCTACATCACATGTAACCTTTCATTGCATAGCTGTAAGAAGTGTTTTATTAATATCAAGCATTTGATAATGAGAATTAATTCTAAACGGAATAAAAACCTGGAAATTGAAATTATATCGATGATTTCTATAATTAATATATTCATAGATGAAATTTTCGGATTTCGGTTATTCGATTTCGGTTATTAGATCCCTACGATAAAAAAATTGTTCATATAATTCATCATAACAAACATAATTACACATAATTCTAATCTGTACAGTATAAATCTAAAATATTTACAAATTTTAAAACTTGAATCAACATGCTACGAAAATATATAAATTCTTTTATGATAATAAAATTCTGATAAAAATCATAAGAAACTTTATAACTGATTTTTGAATACTGATTCTAATGCACGAATGTTATCATAAATAAGTAAACTAATGTATAAATTAAATATAATCTATATCTTATCAAACAATGCTATTAATTAGAACTTACTGATAGATATCTAAAATAAGATCGGCGATCTATACATACATAATCGACGAATCACTTCTAAATCAACGACGAGCCAAATGTCAACTGAAATTCTGAGAGAGCAACAGTTAAACCTCTTCAAGATAGTAAATGTGATGTAATGATGATTGTAGCGACGTGTGTGGTGTATATAGTAAGAACGTGCGGGCCACACTCTCGCCAGCTGGAGAAGAGCTGCACGAGATGGAACACTTCTTCAACATCAATCTTCTGAACTAATGAAGCTTATTTGTTTACACCACCACACTGGTTTTAAATACCCACAACATGGCACAGAACATGTGTAAAATTAAAGTTACGAGGGGATTCAGCCGAACAGGTCATCCGGCAAAAGAACAAGGGGCTCATTACAACAAGAGCGCATACAGCTAACAGCCTCAATACCAATCTTCAGGACGCTTTCTGACTGGCTGAAATCCACCACGTGACAATACTCGCAGGTCCCTGATTGGTTTAAGTCTGTCTTGTGACAGCGAGGAGGGCCCCTGATTGGCGGAGAGAGCAGGTGTGTAATAGAGGGCCCTGAGGTGTGTAGGTGGGATGACACACAGCTCTTTATAGGGAGCTACTGTAATTCGTATGCAGTGATTAGAATCACCCCGCCATTAGATACATACCCTTTTTAATGAGTTGACAAAGTCACTTTACCCATTAAATATATCACCATTTTAGCGTGTTATGTTAACAGGTTTTATCACATTTACATCTTACACTTTCACGGAAATACAAGAGTGCACATCTTCAGCCCTCACCAGTCACCAAACCATTTCAGGCAAAAAACACTGAAAAACTTCTCAAGTTTACTCGAATTACTTGCGACAGAATACCAAATCAAATCAAAAGGGTTCAAATATGTCAGAAAGATGCGCCACTAAACGACATACGGCGCGGTGGTTAAAGAAATTATACCCAAACTAAAACGGTGTCTACCACGGGAGAGAAACTGTGGAGAAGAAAGGAAAGAAGCTGTGGAGAAGAAACAATAGTGCGTGCCCATTAGTAATACGTGTGACGTACGTGTAGGAGATAGAACGAGCCCATATCTTGAAAACAAGTGACAAGTGCACGGGGTGAACTGTCAACTGAACAGCTGCAGACTGTACTGACAGGGGGGAGTTGATGCACCTCGAGGGGGAGCTAATGGGAGCCCCTCTGCTTGTCAATAACCCTTCCAAGTGTCAGGTGTTAGCTGAGATCTTGCTTATAAAACAACCTGCTTGCTTTGTCTTTCTCCTCCTCCTAAGTGCTGAGACAGATTAGCCTTATTGTGCGAGACACAACGGAAGAGTACTGACAAGAGAAATGAGTACATTTGCAAGCAAGGTGGCAAGGTGGCAATGATTGGACGGTTAAATCTCATCAGAGGTCACTTGATAAGGTTTCAATCCTGGACGTAGCTTGGTTGACAAGCATTGGATTAATTGGGATAAAGTTAAAGCACATGATAATAATCCTTTAAATAGTTTGCAGAGAGAAGAACAGAAAACAAGCGCAGAAGATTAAAACACCTCCACGTTTTCCTAACTAGTAAACTGCCGAGGAAATCTTTCAAACTGAGTAAATCTGATAGTACTAGGGTAAGATAGCAGTCTGCCCTATATTGATGTCTGAGAAGGAACATGTTTAAACCAAGGTGTGAACAACAATCTGATGAGGGGTGACACCTTGCTCCCACTAAACCCGAGACTTATCAACCAATAAGACACTCTCAGCCCCGTAGAATAACCAATCAAAACCCAGGGACGACCCAATCAACGGGCCCAAGGTGCTAAGTTGCAACATGGCGCATGCCCTCCTGTCCAAGGAACTGGAACAATCAAGAACAGGGTTGTCAGGAGTGTTACAAGATGCCGGCTACTCAGGGGACCTGGCTTGATGACAGGACAACTCCAAGTGGTTGTGTGAACCCCGTCTGGATGTGATAAGCCCTTCAGAAACTACAAAAGGAAACATCTTTCCACAACTAGATAAGCGTGCACGGAGTGACAGGGTGAAAATAGATTACCATGAATTTAACGAGAACCGGAACAGAGTGGTCTGGCGGGGGCCTAAAGTAGGGACTAAATGGACAAATTAAGCCCGGAGGTGATACCATCTTGTGGATTTGGGATGTCATCAGGTAGCTTCCAGACTTCTTCCGAGATAAACATACTCGCTCAATTAGCGGTCACGCACAAGAACACAACAGTAGCACTGAGAAGCGAGTCAACACTCTCCAAACGTCTAGATTCACACTCACCAATACAGGAAGAAGGTTGACGCGGGCCTGGAAAGTTAGGGTGCAATTAACACGTAATATTCAGGCCCAGTAAGAGCAGTGTGGCAATGTAAACTGTTGGCAGGACCTCACCGGGCAACTCAGTACATCCGACCAAGCCTCAGGGTACCCCAGCTCATACCCCCTTATATTATATAAGAGTTATTAATTACTAACTACACCTCGCCCATTGGTACACGGCTGTCACGTGGCCTCAGGGCCGGAATCTGGTTGGCTGCGTCTGATTAGTCTGCTGGCAGGTTGGTACTACGTTCACTGAACTTCAACAAACGGTTTGGTGTTTATATCGTGGTCACAGCCGGATTATTCGGACTAAACGAATCTTGCTCTGACAATCATGAGGGGTGAAGCTAATTTAGGGAGGTCGGAACTTGAACAGTGAAGAGTGAAAGTTCAACAGACGGGTCGTTCAGTTTGGTGATACAATATGTAACCAGTAGCAAAGATCGCAAAGTTAAAGCATCAAAATCAAACCAAAACTAACAAGCAGCATCCAAACAAAAGAACACCTTTTCGTGACAATTTGAATAGAACGAAAAACAAGCTTTTAAATTGAAAGGAACAACTCAATTGCGGAAATTCCCAGAAACATTACCATCAACGAAACAATGAAGCTAACTCAAGCTAAAGGAACAAGGTGTACTGTGTCAATTAGCATTGATTGTTTTAATCAAACGGATGAAACTGAGCAGATTAGTAGACAGTAACTGTGAAATACGATACTGTCAGACCGGATCAGACAGGGCTACCAAAGGATAATCCTTCAATCACAGTGTGGGGGACATTTCACACCAACTAGTCACACAATTAGAGACAAATACACATAATTAGAGACAAATACACGCCAAAAATTTCAAACTTGAAGAATTATTTACGTCAGAGCTTACAAGTCACGTCAGAGCGGAGGAGAGAAGTTGAAAATATTTTCAGGTGGCTCCCTCCCTAAAACAAATGTTGAGGGTAAGGATGTGGAGGGAGACAGAGAGACCAACATTATACTAGCTCGCTAATCAAATGAAGAGGGACTACTCTAACAACACTTGTATAATGATGATTGATAATCGTTATTAAAACTATCCGTAGTTGTGGGGCTTCTCTACACCGACATCACCTTATAAGGAATGATTGCATGGAGCTAATGAGTAATGAGTGCTTGTTACAATGCCTACAGGGGCCCTGATCCAGGGAGACAGAGTTAACTGCGTGTAAAACCACTTTCAGTACGGCTCTTTTTAAATAAACGTGTGAGACGAACTATAATGTGGATGTGTCATGTGCGGGGAAATTGGGTTAAGGTGGTATGGGAAAATAATAATTTTACACTGAGTTTAGTAATGTTTAGCCTATTATACTCCACTACATTAGCTCATTCTGGGTTGTATTCTGGATATCTATTTAGGAGGAAAAGGTGAAGACTTGAAGAAGTCTGACTCAAAACCGGGCACTTCACCAATAAACCGACTAAAATGGTGTCGTGTGTCCTGAAAATAAATTTACGTTAGTACCACTCATCTTAAATTTCTACCTGATTGATACATCGCTCTTTGAATACCACTATTTCGAAGATATAACATGGAAAAATGATCCTAAGACAGACTATTGATCCACTATAACATGGATGGTGGGTTACACCCCAATAACATAATAATTTCATTATATTCACATAGCCTATTCATTATATTCACATAGCCTATTCGGGCACTATCATGTCTATCAAATAACAGGTGTCCTAACTACTTCAAAAGCACGGAGTACAGTCGCATACCTCGTTAAATACCGCACGACAAGAAGACAAAATACCAGATACATTCCCCGGTAGTAGGCAACATCACATATATATATATATATACAGACATCACATTATATAACCAGACAAAGCATGAGCAACAACAAAAAATCAGACAAACAAAAACCGGACAAAGGAGAAAAGAGGGCACAGTAAGAGAGAGAGAGAGACGGAACTGCTGACCTGTAGCACTGCTTTGGTCTTCTTGTGTTCGTGCTGTTCAAATACCACGTGGTGCTGCAGTTCCTGGATTCTGGGTGAGTAGAGGACTGTTTAAAACATGTTGGGCTGTCGTCAGCAGAGGGTAGTAGTTACGAGTATTATGTCATGTTAATGTACACGGGGTGGTATATGCTGGATGGTCAGTGGCACTTTGTGAGCTGGCAGACGCTTTTGGGGGTTTCACTAATTTCTCATGGTATTCTATGGAAAGGTTTTTCATACTGGGATACATATGAAATTGGGTTCCAAATACCACTGATAACATACTACACGATACTAACTGAGAACCCATAAGAGGGACAGTTCAACCGACAAAAGGGATGGCGGGAGGGCAAGACATGCAGGCTAACATCGTGTCACCCAAATAACCCTGAGGGGATCCCAACAGGACACCCAGTTCCTACTTAACGAGTAGCCATTAACATATCTACTCACCTAGCCGGCCCGATTAAGTAGTTAACCAATCTGGAAACCTGCCAACCAGGCTGCTAGGACAAGGTCACGTGGTGAATAATGGAGCTGTGACAGGTTGAGGTGTACACCAACCAGGGTATACACTCGGTGATTGAGGGATATAACTGCAAGGTGCTACAATACATATGCAGATGAAAAGTGTTGACAAATTCCCTAGACTGGTGTGGGATGATTTGGATGTGGAGTGTTCCGTGTTTCATAGCACATGTGAGCGGGTGATGTCTGAACAGAGAGCCTATAGATCAGAGAGACAACAAATATTTTACTTGACATATTGGCAGGATTTGGAAAAGATTGAAAAAGGGGAGGTTGACGAAGAACTTACTTTGTTTCTAGGTCTGATATTGATGCCTCATATTTGTCGATCACAGCATCATGTTTTTCTTTGACTCTCCTTATTTCTTCTAGATAAAACTCTTTCAATTCCTCAGATAGAGCTACAATTCTTTTTTCCTCTTCGGTAGCCCACTCTTTCTGAAATAACGTACGACTGAGTCTGGAACCGAAAACAACATCCAATTGTGCAGTGCTTTGAGGGAACAGTACTTTTCACTAAAAACATAGTCTAATATTGCAAGTTTCTGACGAACCTTCTTCTCTTGCAGTCTCTCTGCCACGACCTCTTCCAACGTTTCGTGGTATTCTGTATCACATTTCAACCGGACCAGTCTGACATGCTCCTTCTCTTGAGTTTTCCACTCCTCACGAGCTTTTGCTAGTTTCTCTCGCACTGTGTTCTCTAGAACGCTATGATGGACCTTGGCAATGCTGTTTAGATGTTAGAATATGCAGTTATTTGATTACACAACATATCGAATTTTAGCCTCCGCCTCGGTAATGTAAGGTTTGGGATTTAACACCAATAAAAGTAATTTAACGAGCGTCACACCACAGTGAAGTGTTTTGGGTACCTGTTCCATCATGTCAAGTTTTTCTTGCATCTCGTTTCTCACTTTCTTAGCGGCGGCTTCAGCAGCTTCGGCCGCGATCTGAACAATAAGTAAGTAAACCTTTGGCAAGTATCAAAACAGTTATATTTGGTGATTTACCAGCCAATTAGACTTCTTATTTCATGGTAGTAATGCTTCTGAGCTGAGCTTTAGAATCACAACAGACCGGACGTGACTCATCTGGCTTCAAAAATTTGCAAGTGCGCCGCGCAAAAAATTTTCGGCTCCAAAATAAAATGTCAAATTACTCTTTTTTCATTGAAGTCATCGCGCCCTACAAATACGTGATTTGCAATTAGGAGCAGCATTTTAGAAGACCGCAGATGTTTTTCCTGAAGAATAACTGCTTAAATTACCTGATCAGTGTTATCTATCTTTTCAATCCAAGTTGACTTCAGCGCGTCTTTCTCAAGCTCAGATTTCTCCTTGAACTCTGCTTGCAATCGTTCTCTTTCTTCCATGACCTACAACATATGCGAATAATGGGTAGCCGAAGCTGATATAACTTTTCAGCACGTATGTAAGCAAGGTCAACATAACATGAATCTGATAAGAAGATGGGCCAAGTATGTAACCATATCTATGAGCAGCAATGAGTATGTACTGACCGCATTATGCACTGCTTCTTCTAACATCTTAATATGCTTCTGTTCCTTCTCTTTTGCTACCCTCTCTCCGATATCTGAGAAGAAAGCCATTAAAATGCAGCTTCCAGTTTATAATACCTAATTTCCCATTCCTGTCATTCCATAGAACATTTAAAGAGGTGCTAGGAAACCCCGAATTATCGGGAGAAACTAACCTATAATTGAATCGTGGGTAACGATTTTCTTCTTTTTTGCAAAGGATCGTACAGCTTTGACAACGACAGGATCCATTTTAGGATCGTTCAACCTCTCATATCTGATTAAAGGGGAGAATAACATTAGTATTGAAATTTAGCGATTAAAATGTAATAGTGAAATACACATTTGAGTAGAGCTGTCTCGAAGGAGTCTGAATGAAAGTAACGCTGCAAAACCGCATACAAGTAACTGTTTAATACACATAATATATTTTAAAACATGCACACGACAAATTTAAAACTGAGAAATCTGAGAAAGCTTACTTTTTGAGAGGAATAGATCCCTTAGTGCCCAGCTGCTTATCCAGCTCGTCCACAATGTGCCGAGACAAGGCTGTCTTGGGTCGTTGAACTTCCTCGGGCGCTATCTCCGAGTTACAAATATTCCAGGTTCGGCGCTCTTGGGCCGGAAAGTTGGCAGTGAGTGGCCGCTGCTTTTTGTAAGACATAACAAGCTGGATATGTAAGAGATAATTAGTGCTGAGCAGGTGTGATTACCCAGGAAGTACAGCTACACTTCACACTTCGGGTAAACTTCACGCTTGTTATGTTAACAGGGCTAGTTTGCTGAAGTTTACAAGTAGTTGCTGCTATTCCAAGAACTGGCGCCGTGCGGGTAATGGAGATAGGAGTTTTGTGCACACAGTGAAAACTTTACTCACTTAAGGTACAATTTCAAATCAAAACCAAGAATAGCACAGCAATTTATTTTACAAACAAAACTTCAAACTCAAAACAAAACTTAACAAAAATATTCCGTTTACTGTTTATGAAGTTTCTATTTCTATTAACAAACAGAGATCATGTACATTGTACAGTGTACACAGCAAAAATGGTTAAATAAAATATCTTAATGTTGTAATAACACGACAAAACATATTCTCTGGAGAATCATTACATTTTGCTAGTTCTTTAATTTCATTCAGCTCATTAAAATTATCCACGCTTATTATTCCAGCTTTGATCGTGTGTAACATAAAACAGACATCAAACTCTCACCGTCAGAAAAGTTGGATCTCAGTCGCTCTCTTAACTCAAATTTGGAGGCTTGTAACAGGGCACTAGTCTAAACAGGACACTAGTTTCTAGGAACGACTGGGAGTCTGACACATTATCTTCTAGACATAAAAGACTGTCAAAGAGATACCAAACGGCTAGCCGAATTAGAAAAGAGCGAGCCATTTTGATGCTTATGTCATGGATAATAACAGCACATATTTCAACAAATAATAGAAGTCTGAGGAATCTTTGGGATTATTTAATTCGCATGTCTGAACTTGGTTCAGTTTAAAGTGGATCTGAAACAAGCAATATCTACAGAAATTAGCAGCTGAAAATTTAAAATTAGTTTATAATGAATCAAGATCAAATTACATAATTACTTAATCCAGTCTTAAACGCAACAAGAAATGCGGCCGCTTTTCTTTTGTGGATGGCCGCTCAATTTCCCGATCCGTGATGGAGTATTTTATCATATTCCATACCACCTGGGGACCCCAGTCTTTGCTGTTTATAAGCATGCAGATATGGCGGAGTGACAGGCCGAGCGCCGCCCAGTTGATGTAATTCCATATTGAATTTGAAAATCGTGTATATTTCTATGTAACCATATACCGTATGTTTATTGTTTATGCAACCTGACACGGATCTGTGCAAAAGAATAATACTAACTCAAAATAATGATACTATGCTATCAGTCCCTAGCGGGATGCGTACATGGTGAAATTAACAATGTACTTGAACATTTCAGCACCGCGCGCGCCAACAATTGTTTAATTCAGATGATCGCGCAAAATAACTTTGCGCATGCAGACACGTGGGCGACACGTACGCTCGCAGGCACGCAGGTCGCACGCAGGTACGGACGAAAGCTACCATATACAAAAAAAACCTCGTTCGCTAACCCTTGTCCTTGACTCTTTTGTGCCTTCGGCACTTTGAGTCATGGATCGGGAAAAAATTGTGATATTCACTTATAGTATAACTGAGCTATCTGAGCTATCATAGCATTGAATTAGGATAAATTAGCAATTTAAATTGTCAAAAAATATCACCATCTTATTCTCAAACAAAAAATTTCACACGAATGTTTTATGTCTTCTAACCGACTTACAAACATGGAACACATCATCATTTGCACTCAAGAGAATAATAATCTTTTGATGCGACTCAATTCTCAAGTTTGTTTATAAACACATATGCTTATAAACACTGATTATAAACACCAGAGACACCTCAAGTGTTGAGCTCGATGTATGAGGAAGGGATCAGACCAATAGCACTCTGATAACTGACTAGAGTCCAGCCTTGTATAGCAGGTTGTAAGTGAGCTGGAGCTACGATCACTTCAGCAGCAGCTGGGACACTGATCTGACAAGTATTGTATTGTATTGTTTTCAAGCTGTAACATTTTGAAGATAGCTAAATTTCAACTTTAAATTTTAACCAATTAGGGATTGAAATTTGAATTGAATTTAGGTTTGTTAAAAAGGATCGGGGAGCTTACCTCGTCAGGATTCAAAGCTCTATAAGGATAGACAACAGTCGCAGTCTCATTTTCAGTGTCACCATATTCTATCTCGTCGTCTGGCAATAAATATAATTAGCAACTAAAGCCTCTATCGTTAAATCTCCCTTAAAAATAATGGACATGAGAAAAATGTCAATTTAATTAGGTTTAGTTCATATTGTATTCACTAATACATTGACAGTGGTGTGGCCAACTACTGAACTGCGCCAACTATCTGACATGAGTCAGACAGTTCTTCAAAACTGGTGAAAGTGAGAACCGACGGCCACCAGACCTTGGCGCCATATTGTCTCTTTATCACGAGGTGAAGTATGTGATAATTTGTTAGTTTTCACTCTTTTAAATTTGCGCATGAGGGCGTTTTAAAGAGTGGTCACAGATGAGCTTTAAAGATACAGGTAACCATGGTAACCATGGCCGCAGTTCAAATGAGCACTACCAGATTCTGGAGCAGATAATTTACAGATATCTCGACATACCTTACAACTGCTTTAGGTCACAAAATTCCTTTTGAAACTTATATTAAATCATTTCGTAGTTAGATCAAGCCATTTGTGTCTTCCTCTTTAATGTACCTTCCTTTACAGCAGGAAACATCTTGTAGATGAAGTAAGGTCCAGCGCAGGCCACCAACAGGAAGGTTACAAAAGGCCACAGGTCCTGGGGGCCTGCAGGGTCGGCAAGGTCCCAGGCTACACTCTGAACATTCTGCACTGCTTCATGAGGGGAGGTGGTTAGAGAGTTCCATAGCCTCTGAAATACCCTGCAAGAAGATACATTTGAGTAAACCTGTGATATCTCATATCGTAGAATATCATGATAAATTGGCCGGGATTAACAAGGACTAAAACATGATTTAGGGGATTTCCATTCACTGCATGCTCTGTTCAGCTCACTGAACACCTTTATGCTCATGATGCACAGAATGACGTATGATATGAGACTTCTATGGAAGTCTATTGTTCTTAAAGTTGACAACTATTGGTATTTCAGGAATTTTTCAGATTATTGTTTGTCAACTAGTTGGTGTGTGTAGGTTTTGAGCACATATATCTGCTGTCCACCAAATCCTTAAGTCTCAACTGATATGAGATAATTTAACAAGGGCAAGGAGAAACAATAGTGGTTGTCAGTAAATCTACAGTTAGTCAATGTTCACTAATGGTCTGTCACCGATAAGGTAACACAACAATACACAGGGTGACTATTAATATATATCAATTGGGAAAATTTGTCATGAAAAGTAAAAGAAAAAACGGCGATATTGCCGTATTTGATTTGGAAGATATAGTGGCCTTATCTCAATAGTTACTACCTCTGTCCAATTCCAAGCATCATGAAACTTCTGAGAATCTTGACTAATTGCTGTCTTAATTTACTGAAGTGATCAGCCACTGATAAGACTGCTCTGAAGGAAGAGTGCACAGAATTGTATGTGGCCTCCAACATTTGGGCTACCTGAATTAGTGGATAAAGTATTGCCATGATCACGATAAATGGACATAATTTATAAGAAATTCAAAATTTTTAAAAACTTCTGGGATAATTGAACAAAAAAGTGCAATAGTATTCATTTACGTTAAAGCAAAAATAAAGATTTCTACTCACAGATGTAAATGCTGTCACGATAGATTCAATTGAAGCAAAAGCATCTTTAACGCTAGCTTCAGCAGATCTGACGAATGGGCTGTCTGGCTCACCATTCCAACGACCTCTGTTCCAATCATTTTGAGGAGGTGAGCCCCATCCCTGGTATTGGTTATGGTAACTGAAATATTTCCTATCAACGATTGTGTGTAACAACTTTAACGAGTGTTTGCAATAATCATGTAAATCCCCTGATACACATTTTAAAGCAGTAGATCTTTTAAATATAGCTTTTAGAAAGGATAGTAAATATTTACATGTACATTTGTAATTAGCATGGGCATCATACTTGAGATGGATATGAAAATAAACCTGTACGGATTGTAAGGATATGTGGTTGTAGGAGGTGAATACAGGGGTCGAGGTGGAGGCGGTGGCAGACCATAGTTGGAAAATGATGCATTGTTTCTTCTTCGAGGAATTCTTGGTGGTTTTTTGGATTGTTCTGCAGTAGCTGGTTGATCATTTGCTTGGTTCATTTGATCGACTGAAGCAGGAAAGGTCTTGTACATTTAAATAAGCAAAAGAAATGTTGATAATGTCAATTGAACCATAAACAATCGAAAAATAAAGTACATAGATAAATTCAGCAGTGCTAGTGGTAATAGTCCAACTATAAGGTTAGCCACAAATCAAATCAAATAAAAAAAACACTATTCAATTAATAAATTAAAATGGTGTAAATACGAATAAAAATATGAGTAGAAACAAATTTACAAATCAATAAACAGGCTCTAAGTTTAGGTTTAAATAAGATCCCCTGTCTCCAACTGCCTGTCATGGGAAATGGGCTACTATCATCGGACTTGAAAATGTCCACCGAAGGTTTACCTCCCTTATTGGTAGTATTGGAACAATTCCTTGTAGTGAAAGACTGGGCCTTACAGATTACAACACTTGCAGAAAGGCGGGCTGGAGGAGGTTCAATTGAGGCCCGTAAATGGTAAGATTGTTAATGGATTGGTTTTTCTTAAAATTGTTGTTTTCTTGGTTGAGCATGGAAAGAAGTGTCAGAATAATATCTTGCCAGTCAGTGTAACTTCGTTTAACTTGATACCTGCCACCATGGACTATGAATGTTTCTAGACACTATCCTTTTGATATTGAGATATTGGTATCTCAGATCACGTGTACATCGTTCCTTTTCTATGACACAGTAATTTATTGACACTCACAGCTATAATTTTAATCATTGAATCAGTATTTTTATCTGTGCTCTGCGTAATGCATCACATGAATCAGTTTTTAATCTATTAACTTATTACGCATTTGTGCTCTGCTTTAGCATCACTTGACTATTTAAAAAAATTGTTTGTTCAGGCCATGACCTTATAGTCAGCCAATTGGCCATTGCTAAAAGAATAATATCTTACAATATCGATAGAGATTCGCTAAAAATTCAGTCTGTTATTGATTTTAAAATTGGTCTTGAAAAATTTAAGAAGAATGGTGTTCTAATACACTTCTACATTCTAGAAAGTTTCTAATATAGTGTACTAGAAACCCGCTAGTCGAAAAATTTGTTCGAGGAAATTTGAAAAATCGTTTAAATTTCTCTTTATTCTCTAGCTCTGTACTGTAGATAGTATGGATTTTATTACACAATGACGACAATGTTGTAGGTATTTGGATTCTCTAGACGATACTTTTTACCGCATCAAAAAATAACGATCACAATCAAAGTTATGGATAGTTATAGCGTGAGCATAATGCAATGTGAGCTAGTCATGACTTATCATAAAGCATGGTAACACGTGTTGCTAATAATCAGTTCTTGCTTGCACACATGCAATCTCTTGCGGTTGCTACGCAAAAATTACGCCATTATTCTAATGCTTATTTTGCCTCACTTCCGGCATTAATTTTTTTCCCTGCTCTTGCCGAAGGCAAAAAGATCGTAGGGAATAAGTAATCGGGTTTGGATATATGAGGTGGCCCGACGGTCCTACGATGATGACAAAAGTCTGCTCCTTCGCAATATAGACCACTCCCTTATAATTATGTGTATAAAAGGAGTCTATTTTGCGCGCGCGATGCCAGTTATGTGTTAATTAATTACAGCCATAGCAACAAAATTTTGGTGCTTGACGACTGTTACACAGGTTTCCATCGGGTTACAATTCACTCTAATTCATTAATATAGCATATTAGTCATCTGAGCGGATCAATCATCAACATAAGTGTTATTTTGGTGAAACAAGCTTAATATATTACCGAGTGATAATATTCAGCAAGTCAAAACAAATTAAATTATGATATCAGCTAATAAACTCGTGGCTGATTATTTAACAGTTGATTGACACTTAATGGTAAAAAGCGAAAACATATAGTTGAGAAAAGATGTTACTTTACATTTATATTCAAGAAGCAACTAAGATCAAGATTGTGGTATGCTTTTAAAGAATCCTATATCAAATCAAAGGCTCGATAATCGATGGTGCTGTAGATGTGTCGAGTATTCGAGTAAGCATCAAAATGTATTAGTTTATGTTAGATAATAATTAAGATGATACAGACTATTTTATAACAGTCATTAAAGTTGGCATACGATGCAATAATATGACGTGACATGATTGATGATATAATTTAAGAGATTTGGTTGGGGAGGCGGGTTATCGTTGTGAAGTACTGTACTACTCACGAAGTACTGTACACGATGTTTTCAACCCGGCATAGTGCCGGGGCGGGTATGATCCGCCAACCTCCGAGTTACATGCCTGGTGCTCTACCAATTGAGCTACCGGCCCTATTCAGCTCAGGAATTTCTTGCACGCCTATCAGTAAGCAATCGTGTTGTTATTTCATATCTGCTGCTATTAGTACACTGCATTATATGCAGCTGGGATACTCACTGCCATATTTGTGAGTGTGCATGATTGATGATACGCATCGTTAACACGTAACAAAATTGCGCAAAATATGAAATGATCTACAACCAAACCACATACAGATCGACGGCGACACCTCAGATGCGCGCAGAATTTTTCAAGTTCTGCACGCCTAATATAATATACACGATTATCACGTGCGCAAAACACAACTCTGGGATAACAATAAAGTATAACAATTACATTGTAGGCAGTAGGGAAATTTGATCGTGCGTGGTGTTACCGCGGCGAAATTCTTGTTAAAATCAAAAGCTTTAATTAAAATTCCAAGAATGCAGTGTCCTATTCTTATCTTTTTCCTACAACCCTGAAAATCGCGAGGTTTCAACTCCATTTGCGAGCTGAAATTAGCGACAAAGAAGGGTCGGTCTTTCGTCAATTTTCAGTGTTTTTTGTCCCCGTTGCTCGGGAATTTCGTCAAGTTTAAAATATAGTATAGATATGTAAAGATAGAGGGAGTAAAATATAATTGATATCGAGAAGAATCCACAGGTTAAAAATTTGCGAAGTAATCCTTTGTGACCAAAATAAACTGGAAAATTTTCAAATTGCCTGATTTTAAGTAAATTAGTATTTTTCATTTATTATTTCATTTCAATTAGTATTTTTAATTACAAAATGCGTTTGTTTTAATTATGATTAAATGACGAAGGCTGTACTGTGAAATAATTAATACTTTAATAATTAAACTTATAAATTTGGACAATTGTTTTTAGTGGTCGGTTATGATGGTAATATCACTATATATTCTTGATTTGATTTATTCAATACTTACTGGGCGTTGATTGACAATGTCAACCCTTCCAGATCGTTGAGCTCTGTAAAGCAGTCATTCATATTCGATGCGAAGCAAGAATGCTAGTTTTTAGTTTGCGCGGCGCGGCGAAGTCCTCCAAACTGGGCGGCGCCGAATCTTTATTGTTTATGAATATTATAACCTGGGGTTCCCAGGTAATTCAATACCAGTGTAGTAACTATCAGATCTAATAGTAATCAAAGATGCATAAAAAATAATGGATATTATATATAGCGCTTGACTATAAATCATAAATGTGATTTTGAATTGATAATGTGCCAGTTCCAAGTTTACAGTTAATAGGCAATAGCAGGTTGCATGTACAACATACAACTACAGCGCGCCTTAAATTATTCTTCCACCCGTCTTGCTTAATGATAACCAATAAAGTATTGCCAATTGTTAATGGACTGACGGCCGTTGTGCGCGCGCTGCTGTACTTAGCAGCACTTTAACTTATATGTTATAACTGTTTACTTAACTTGATTTAACTGTTAACTGTTAACATTTCGAAAAGTTCAGACCATTGAACTAACCAAAACCCTCGCGCTTGTGGCTTGCAGTAGTGCGTGCCCGGCGAAGGCCTATGTGCTATATGGTTAGGTGAATTCAGACCGTAACACAATCATTCAACGTTTGTATAACATTGCATTACGCGCGCACAGTCGAGAGATCTGACATTCAACATTGGACATTCCGCCTAATTTCTATTTGGAGATTATGAACATGATAGCCTGAGGTCCCCAGGTAAAAATTAAATAGATTGTACCGACTCATAGAAGACTGTCCCTGAATGATATGGACTACAGAGAATGAAATTGGTAACTCACTTTTGCCAATCTACTTCAAGAAGAGCGATCGACCTAAATAAAGTTTAAAGCAGTCAGCTGCATATATAACAAAATACCCTAGGTTATGGATCAAATCACGTCGCCCAATAATATAAGTGAACATCTGACATCCGTCATTTGATGTGTGATACATCATCAATTTGATTCGAACGATGTCAATCCTTTGCATCTCGCCGATCTGTGGTTGCGAGAAGCATTATTGGATGCGCGGCGTGGCCCAGTGGGGCAGTGGCAGTAGTGCATCCCGCTACAAATCATCAATATGTTTACTGGGCGGCGCTCAGCCTGCCATTCCGCCGAATCTTTATTCATAATAGCCTGGGATCCCCAGGTAATAATATGTGTACTTATAGTTATACAATTACAAATCACTTGGAATACTTTTTAAAGAGAATAACACTCTAAAAAACGCTACTGTCTAATTTCTGCGTGAAACAGAAAAGCACATGAATAGTGTGACTATATTTTGTCTTGTATCACGTGGTGACCCCCACGGTCGCTTCACTATAGCGTCTTCGACTGTAGCGTCTTCGACGCTACAGGGGGAGCCGCGCACTTCGTGCGCGGCGGGTCATACAACGTATGACAAATTTTGTCTATGTGCCTCGAAAGAGACCTTGAATGATTCCCCGTTCAGTTTTGGTCCGACTACGTCAACTTAGTACAGAATCAAGTAAGTTATAGACACATTTCAAATTCATACGTTCCAAATTGGATGTGCTTTCGGTGTAGTGGGGATATAGCGCGCGCCTTTAAAGAAGGCTTGTTTCATGACAGATTTTTGTTACAATCTGGTGGTAAGGTTCCTTATAACTGTAACCAAGATGTAATTAGATCGAACGCAGGAATTAGATCAAACGCCGACGCGAGATATATAATTATATATAAATACATTGGAGGACTTCGCCGCTTCGACGCGCCGCGCAAACTATAAGCATTCTTGCTTTGCATCGCAACGATCTCGATGGGTTGACATCGTCCTCGTCAATCAAATAAATACATTGAAAGCCGCGCCGGCGTTCGATCTAATTCCTGCGTTCGATCTAATTTCTGTGTTGGATCTAATTACATCTTGGTGACAGTAAGGTTAAATCGAATAATTGGTACTTAACGACAAATCATTAACAAAGATCTCCCACGAATTTGATAAATGTCTCCCTCTAATTTGTAATTTATTATTGCACCATGAGATATCAGTCAACGCTTGTATTTAATTTACAACCGGAAACATCGTTGATCGTGGGTGACCCAGTTAGCACACAATTACAAAGCGCTAGTTCAAAAATGAATAAAATAACTGAATGTGATTCAAATTAGAAACAGGAAAAAGAGACTTAAGATTCAAAATGTTATTTCAAGATTATCGCTTTGACTTATGAAAAATTCGGAAATGATAATCTATTGTCATTGATTGATAACCAGAAATAAAACTTGCAGTCAGTATTTGAATCGAGTTGTTCCAAATCAGTTACTATCTGTTTACCAATACCAGTTTTGAAGTTTCGAGGATCGGAAGTTACCACTTGGAAGTTACCAGTACACAGTATGAAGTATGATGAGAGCGTCCACTCTTCGTCTATATGTCATCTGAGGATGGAAATATATAAATTACACATAAAATTCAAGTTAGCTATACTCAAAGCGTGCTATAGGCATTTATATTTATTATATCAAATACACAAATAGCGGAAAACTCGATGTCTGGTCGAGTGAGCAGTATCACAGTTTAATGTTTACGAGGCTTCTTAAAATAGGAACTTAAAGAGCAAGTGGTTTAAACACTGAACAGTAAACAGTTGTCATATATTTATATCTATTTATAATATAGCAATTAATTTGGAGCATTGCTTCACCCAAAATAAAGATAAACTATAAATAGATTTACGTAATGCCAGATATTGTGAGATTGATCAGTTAGATCATTTAGGTTTCTAAACTCGATGTCACCAAAATGTTGAAATCATTCTCAATAAATCCATACTCATTATTTCTACCCTTATTTACCGAGGTTCTCAAGGATGATGGAATAGGAAGTGTTCTCCAATTTCAAGATTATCTTCTGTTAATTCTCCGTGAAACTTTAAGTTTAAATAAAAATAATGGTTTTTGCGTTAAGCATTGTCTTAGAAGCAATTGCCAATACCTTAATAGCGATTTACTAGTTTAGAATAAATTCCCTTCCTGGACTAGTTATTGAATCACTAGAAGTAAAAGCGAAACGGTGAGTCACAAGTAAAAAAGCGAATTGTTAAAAAACGACCTGACTTTACTATTATGTCGATGCCCCGGATACTATACTGGTCTTGTCTACCGTGTATTGGTAGCAGATTGTTATACAGGTCTTTATATGGGCATCACGTGTAACCGCGTGTATCTGCCTCCAGTTATAGGCATGTAATAAATGTTTGATCTACGATGGAATCCAATTTTTGTAGTTTCGACAATCTGCTACAGTCAGGGAGATATCGTTTAAACTTTGATATACCCGGAAGTGTGATAACATGCATGGCGTGAATTGAGTGGAAGCATTAGGGATATATAGTCTCGAACTGAGCGACCTCATTATAGGGATAACAAGATCTTGTTTATCTCTGGAGAGGGAATGGGTGGAATTACTCAAGTATCACGCATAGTGGTCATGTGACATTCCATACCAAGCCGGTAGTGCACCAGAAAAATGATGCGTATCTGAATTCCTACATCAAAATATAAAGCAAAACACGATTTTTCAGAATCAGTTGATAATGTAATGTAGCTGAGAGCTGTTCATCGTTCATGAGTCACATTGAATGATCGCGTGTTTAACATTTCTTATGTTTTATGATCAGACTCGAGTAAGTCTGAGGTTACGTACTTTTGTTCGTACTTAATTTAAAGTCTGAAATCTGACGGATGTTGTGCTTCTTCGCAGTATTAATAATTTATTTTATGATTTCAGTATGAGTAGAAGTTGTAAGTGACTTTTAGTATCCAGTAATAACATCTTGTCCATCGCTCGAGTCTGATCAAAAACTATTAACTACTTTTCAATATAAATAATAATTTTGGTTCACTGCAGATTTCGTGATTTTCGCATTAAATTCTATTAGCTACTCCCGTTGCGGTGGCAAGTGTTATTAGAATTCTGTAGCATTAAAACTCTAACTCCGAGGAGGTCATGGAGCGAGTCAATTATAATTTTTATAGTTTTATATATTTGGTGATCTATTGGTCAGCTTAAAAATAACCCATTACAAGTACACTACACAGTACACGTGATATCAGCTTTCTTGACATGTTTAAAGCAACGTCAAACGAAAGTTTTGCAGATATCGATTATCGATCTTATTGACAGAACTGATATCGATTTCATCTTCGCCATTATAAACCTGTTTTTTAAAATAAACAGGTTTCAAGAAAAAAATAAAATTATTCATGATCATTTCATTTCCTCTTAACAGGTTTTACTTTTAGTTACTGGATTTGGCATGATTGTTCAGCATAGCTTTCACTTTGATACAGGGCGATTCAACTGGTGTTTTAATGGTGAGTGATTTATTTAGTTATTCTGCCATTTGTTAGAATCTGTTCATTTAAATTGAATGTAGCATATGGAGCTGAATTACAAATCATTCAGTTAGAGTGAGGAGAATTTAAGTTTTAGCGAGACTTTAGATGACATTATATTCGGTGACATATAAGCAGATATAACATCATGTTATAGCTTGCTATTTTGGGGAGCTGTTTAGTGAACAAGCTCGGGAGTATCAGGCCCTGGAACAGCCAGCCCCCCTAAGACAAACCAACATGGATGTAGTGAGGAGTGTCAGTCAGGATTACACCTTCTGCAGCAATTTAGAGATCTTGTGAACGGAAATGTCACACGGCCAGGGTTGAGTTATCTTATTGGTTCACTTGTTGGTCACGCGACGCGAGAAAGAGCGCTCATTGGATGGGTCCACAGCGCGTGTTACTGTTATTGTGAAAAAGTTAAAAACACAATTCCTCGATTTCTTGTAAGCTTCTAATTGTAACCTGCTTAGTTCAATTGATTAAATAAAATTAGGTTTTAATTGTAGTCCCTTGTGAGGCCGTCTTAAAGTAAATACCTAAAAGAAGGGAACCACTAGAAGTAGATCTTGAGGTGCACCGTTTAAATGGCATTCCTGGAATTCTGTTTAAAGTGGCGTCAATACAAATTTGGGATGTTTAACTTTTGGGCGTTTTAAGTTTAGTTTTGGTATTTTTGTTAAAATAGCTTTTTAATCGTGCAGCTTTTGCTATTACATTTTTTGGTAGTTAATGACTTGATCTCAAAAGATATGGAATTTGAAGAATACTTTTATTGCCGAAACCTTTACAGTATTTGTAGCGAATAAAGAAAGGAAATGCAACAGAGTAGCCTCCAAATAAAATATAATCATCTGTAGTTATGCATTTATCTCGTGCCACTATTTTCGGTTACCGCCACCACGAATATTATATTTTTAAGAGGTGCCTCCAGCCGGTACTATAGACTGGTTAATACATGGTTTTGACACGTGACAATGGTTCTGGGATTTTATTGGAAGATGATACTGTGATAGGTTAATCGTTGTCGCCTGTCACCAAAATTTAAATTTCTACTAAGAACTCTTGATTAATTATAATATTTGAACTGTTCAATATCTTTTAAAGATCAAGTATGTATGACATTTAGTAGAACTTTATGTTCAATATAATGTTAAAGTTCACTCAGCAAAAAATTCCTTAGGAACCAGAGATCAAAATAATTTTACCTTATACAAAGCATTCAAAGAACCATAAAATGTTTCCAAATAAATACTTTAAGCATATCTAATTCAAAAGTATGTCCTGAATAACAGTAGCATCCTCCCTGTCAAGGTACAATGCTGAAAGTGATGGAGAACTGCAGCTTAGAAGAGGACCTTCTCTTTAACGATACCCTCTCCACTCCCTCCCTAAACGACTCCTTCGCACTCTTACCAGGCAGTACCACTAACAATGAGTCCTTTAACCTGTTACCTGGCAACACGTCTGATACCCTGGGAGCGCTGACCGAGTGTACGATAGGCAGTGCTACTCTTAACGCCATCGCGGATAACAATGATGTTAACAGTGATGTTAACAATCTGGACAACTTTCTCAGTACCCTCACCTCGGTAATAATCCAGGGGATGTTAACTAGTTACACTCAGTAGATAGTAGATAGACTTATTAGAGGTAATTCGCACCTTATAACTAATTAGTTAATTGTTTAATCATATGATAATGATTAACCTCGTGCCAACTCAGGACTGCCTCCAAAACTCATTTGAATATTGGAACGATGATGCTGGTGACTTGGATCTACTTTATAACTTCACAACCTTCAACAATCAGGGTGAGTTAGGATTAAACTTGTGGTATGACCAGGTTTAGTTAGGATTAAATTGCGGTATAACCAGGTTTAGTTATGATTAAACTTGCGGTATAACCAGGTTAAGTTAGGATTAAACTTGCGGTATAACCAGGTTTAGTTAGGATTAAACTTGCGGTATAACCAGGTTTAGTTAGGATTAAACTTGCGGTATAACCAGGTTTAGTTAGGATTAAACTTGCGGTATAACCAGGTTTAGTTAGGATTAAACTTGCAGTATAACCAGGTTTAGTTAGGATTAAACTTGTGGTATAACCAGGTTTAGTTAGGATTAAACTTGCGGTATAACCAGGTTCAGTTAGGATTAAACTTGCGGTATAACCAGGTTTAGTTAGGATTAAACTTGCGGTATAACCAGGTTTAGTTAGGATTAAACTTGCGGTATGTTCGGATACCACCATCTTTGGCGAAAAATTAAAGATCATATTAAATAAAAAGGCTCACCGGATAAATGAAAAAGGCTCGCCGGATATGATAAATGAAAAAGGCTCGCCGGTTAAATGAAAAAGGCTCGCCGGTTAAATGACACCGTGAGAAGGAGTAAGGTTAAATTATTTCAATAAACGTGCGAAAGGGAGCAGTTAAACCGTAATAACCATGTTTTAGTATTAACTGTGATTTTGCGACATTTCGTCCATTAATATTGCATCCCACGAATTTTTAATCCAGGTCCTAAAAAATATGCATTGTTGTCTCATACCCATATCTAACCATGATCGTTACTAAATCCCGAAGCATAATTCTAACAATAACCAAGTGTATTACTGCATTATTTTAGTTGCCGCATCAACTGCAATAAGCATAAATTGAGTTTATTTTTTTCAAGAGTACCAATTGGTGGACAGAATTTTCATGACCATACTCAAAACTCATACGATACGTAAATTTGACACGTCATTTCGGATTTGAGGGCTTATTTTGTGGGTCGTTCGATCCATCTATCAATATCTGTGTTTCGACGTCTAGGCTCCAACTCAAGACCACTTTACACCTGAAGACTTGAGGGGCTAGGAGACTTTTCAGCACTTCAGGATCACCTTGACAGGGTGGTGCAGGGCGCAGGCACGCGACTACAGGTCACATGGTGCTAAAGTTACACATCGGAAGCGGCACTAGCACGCGACCATGTGTCAGCTAACCAGACGCTTCCTTGTCACATGGTAGCCCACGTGACATTAACTATATGGCACGTGATACTTACAAAACTGCACGTGCTGCTGATATATGGTAAAGGTGCTGGGCTGACTTCTTAACTAGACATAATCCGTTGCCCTAACCTTTGGGCGTAGATCACGTGATCAGAGAATTGAGATGTTCTGTGGTACAGTTCATTGCCTGATTCCTCAACAGTGAAAAATAGCTCATACATTTTGAAGGTCGCTTGTAAGTGTTATCGATGTTCGAGTTGAGAACTTGTTCTACCAAAAATAAAAAAATAGCTAAAATAATGAATGCAACAAAATATAATAGCTATTCCGAATCCCCTACCACAGTTTCGATAAATTAACGCGATCAAACGGGATGTAAATCTAACCCTGAGGCCTGATCTACCATTAAATACCATCTACCAGCTACCATTTACCATACTATAAAAGTACTGCAACAGATTAACTGATAACAATAAATACGATTTAATGTAATTTTTTCTCCTCATTTCAAAATAATTGCATCAATACAACTCAAGTCGCGTTAAATTTGATGCCGTGGTGTCAGTAAAATGGTACGGATAAACACATATAATATACATACATGATACATATCGGCCCCCCTTATATATAGTAAGATATTGTTCTGGGACCTAGTACTGTAGACCACACCTTGCTTGACAGAGATTCCCGTGTGAAAAAGGATCTAATCGACTTTAAAAGAGATTGCACAAGTGAAAATTGGGGGGTACCGCCTGAAATTAATGGTTAAGTCTTGGTGACGAGTTGTAGCTGAATTCTCGAGTAGCTAAAACTGCGATGGATTAAAGATGTCTCGTGACGTCAAAAGCGGGGGCTGATCATTTTAAACCACACCTCCAATTTCTGCTAACAGTTTAATAGTCCAAAGGTTTTAATTTGGTGAACTACAAGGTGTCTTCAGTGGTAAATACACGCCTATGAATATTATTCTCGCTATGTAAACGGTGTAGATGGTGGAGTTAAAACTCTATTTTATTAGTGACGTCGAAAGCAACCTCAGAACAAAGGGCTATCTTACTGTTGAGCACAGCTTAGGAGATAGACTTATTCCAATTTTACCGACTATAAGAGGACTAACATTTAGATTAAGTAGTATGTGACGCTCGAAATCAAGGATGGGATGGTGTTTTCCAGTCGGAGCAAGTCTTTAACGTCTTCTGACGTAAAAGGAGGGAGCCACGCCTCCATCTTAAAAACCCCTGATTATTTAATGTTATAATACCATTAATTGCCAGGGGATTTAAGTCCACGGCCTGCAGGATACTGGATAGTTGGTTTATTGAGCACTGTCTTAGACTAAAGGGAGCTTTTTGGAGCATTATGTTTCTCTCTACTTTTGAGCGGATGGAATCCTGTTCTTTATCCGCCACCACGTGTCTCCCTAAAGTCCACTTTATAAATAGAATGGAGCTACTTCTTCTGGTATCTTTTAATATTTTATAACTTCGCTGCTGGAGCACTCTTAGTTCAGACGATATTGGTAAAATGGTTGGGGAATTTCGGGGATCTTATGATATTCTGCGTAGCTAGATTCGAAAGTAACAAACCTTATTGTGACCACCAGTATTATGGAATTTATAAAGTTGGCGGAAAGATTTTATACCTTATTGGGGATTATTTCCGTCGAAAATTCTGAATTATTTTATTATAAATAGTGATGTTTGAGGAAAGAATTTTTCCGACGAAAAAATAATTTCTATGCTGTACAATGCATTTGAGGTTATAGCGCGAAAACAACACTATCAATATCATAGAGAATTCACTAAAGCACTAATGTACTTAAGGACTTTAGAATGTGCAAACGTTCATGTTTATATTTATAACCGAGCAAAATGTTGAGTTTATGCAAGTGATATGCTGTAACTAACAACCACTCATTCGAAGATTCAATCGTAAAAATATGAAATTGCTTAACTCTAGTTCAGAGCTCCTCTTTTCTAACTTTAAATCACGAATAGCTGCCTTAATGAATATGATAGGAACTGCAGTTTTTGAAGTTGCATGGAGCCCGAAAATAATCATGGATCAAACTGGTAACAATTTATTTCATACCAGGTTAGAATTTTCGTCAAATCTAAACTGTAAATATAACATTGAACCTCTTACGAAACTGAACAAACTGAGGAACCAGTACCATCCAAAATATTTAACAGAAATATTCGACCATCTAGTATGGTAGGTAACTAAGTGGGAATATTGTGGGTGTCATTGTATTTGTCAGGATTACATGTACAAAACGTAAGCAGACAGCTGTAGCCCACACAGCTTAGCCCACTCAATTTATCACGACTCCCCCATACATATACTGCAGGAGAGCCATCAGGACGTCCGTTACCCCCCAACCTAGACCTCTCATCTCCCTCGCAATGAACAGCAAATATTTAGGATAAGAAATGAATATTTTAGGGGTACATTGGAGCTCTGACTGGCACTGATTGATTGAGAAGAGTTGATCTTGACACTCATCCATTTTATGTGTAAGCACACGATGCAGACAGCTCACTTCTCTTGCCAAAAAGGAATTAGTATTACTGCTCAGCACGACCACGATGTTCCGAGCTCCTTGCGGCCCTATGGCCTATATCTATTAAAATTATGAGAACATCTGCGATTCATCGCATTATGGTATTATAACCCACCAGGACTAGAAGCCTTCTCGTTTAACTGCGAGTAAATTAAAGTTTCACCATGCCATCTAACTATACGTCTGTATTGGCTAGCCTTACCATGGTGTTTATCAGCATTTTTCGTCGCCAACGTGGAAAGAAAATTGAGAAACTCGACACATGTAATTTATTTGATCTTAATGTAATCTAATGACTATGAGCTAAAGTACCAGCGCACGCAGTCTGTGCAAGCCGTCTACTATCATCTACTATCCGACTATATAATTCCCTGCGATATCCAATTCGATTGACGTCAATTCATGGTTATAGACATCTAATACAGTAATACGCTGCTCCACTACCGTTGAGAGTTTCAAGAACTTGAAGCTTCCCGGTTACAGCGTTATCTATTTGCGTCACAATCCATTGATCTTTAAGTAGGGGGCATTTATTAAACGCGCACGAATCGTTTTGGCGTGTTAAAAATAGAATGATTCACGTCGCTGATGTCAGGGAGGGGCACCCTTTATCTGAGTTGCAGCGTGAGGATCCTGCCATTTCTAGCACTGCTCACTTCGCAAACGTTCACTTTGTACTCGACCAATATTTTGTCGGTGCGCCTTCTAAACGATACTGAATAGTTTTATCTAGTGTTTGTGACTGAGTCCTACAAGTAGTATCATCATGGTCCGTATTCTGATTGATGCTCTGAGCCAATGGAACAAGATGCTGGATAGAGAAACCCGAACCAGAGACTACTACAAGCTCGTTGTACCCCAGTACACCAACTCTTTCTTCCGATCTGCACTGAGGGAGATTCCTGTGCTTTACAACGACAATCACAGTGCGTACTTTCTGTAACATCTACCATATTATCGTTTTAAGACATGCAATATTTACCAACTAAACGCGTATAAATCACATATCAGTATCTGGCAACATAATAGGTTAAATGTAGATTAGAATTTAGAATCATGGTCTGGAATATTTCTGAATGTCCACCGGTCGCCACCCAAGTAGAAGTCAGGCTGATTGGTTGGAATAAGGAGCGCACATAAATGAAGCAAGCAAATCACTTCAAGTTATTACTCACATTATATAAAATACAAGCCACTAAATGACTGTTTACTCTTACTGTATAACAACCACCTACTACCTGCCTATTTGCACAATATAATATGCGTTAAAGTGCAAAATAAATACGTTTGAGCTTATGGTTGTGTGAAGGCCAGGTTTTAGCTTTTTAGTGAACTCAAGTGGCAGGTAGATGACCAAATATTCTTTAAAACGTTTCGATTAAAACGTTTTGGAACTTTGTGCAAATTTAACCTAGAGGGCATTGACAAAATGATATCATCAAATGAAAAGATGGTTACAACACGCACTGTACTAGTCAATCGCCATATTTTCGTGCATTTCTCATACTTTTTTTAACCCTAGTCTATTTTCAGATGAAGACCAAAAGCCATTCCTGCTGAACGACGATCAGAATCCTTCCTACTACCCTGAAAAATACGAGAGAGTGACAGGATTTGCAGGAGATCTGTGCGGTGGAGATGCTATCAGACCCGGAGAGATACAGTACGACACCCTCTCAGACCAGGACCAGTTCCACTACCCTTCCAATCAGGAGAACACTCAACAGTACACCCCTACTGACATACACCACATGTAAGTAGACGAGGATTTGTTTTCAGTTTGTTTAAACTGGCGGACGTTTTCCGGCCAGATGTCAATTCGAACTCAAACCTTTTATTATTACATTACAAATGTTTTGAAATTTTAAAACACTCAGATGATTCCAGTTAAGGATGAGAAAATTAACAATTATTCTCCCTAACAGTGACGATGAGGCGATATTCCTAACGTCTGAACAGCAGCAGTACCCTGTATCCATCCAGCAGCACTCCCCACATTCCCCTCATTCTCATCACTCCCCACACTCCCAGCAGCATTCTCCACTGAGTAGCACGTCTCTAGTGCAGCTTTCTCCACTCAGCGCCACGTCTCTAGTGCAGCATTCTCCACTCAGCGCCACGTCTCTAGTGCAGCATTCTCCACTCAGCGCCCCGTCTCTAGTGCAGCCAATCCTGAAATCAGAACCAGTGGACCCCAGGATGTCGGAGAGTGTAACCAACCTGGACTCACCACACCAACAAGGCCTGGACATGGCTTACATCAACCCAGTTCAGCATGCCTGGAACATGAGCACCGACCAAGCATACTACAACTCGCACAGCCAGGTAATTTAATCAAAATTGAGAGCGAATTAATTTTGAGTGAGATGTTTTAGTGTGACTACAAAACTGCATCTTTTAATCAAAATCTTGTCGCTTCAATCTCAAGTAGGTTATTTGACTATTAAAGATTGTAACCAATCCTTTAATTTCAGATGCTGGGATACAGTTCACCTGGTTGGGTCACCAAGGAAACGAGCTCACTCGGAGACATGGTCCTCCACACCTCCTCCCCCACTGACTTCGTCAACAAACAGACCACCAAGGAGAAGACTCAGCGAGCTCCTCTCAAGAAGAAGAAGGAGGGAGGACCTGGAGAGAAACCATACTACTGTCCTATCACCGGCTGCATAAGGTATACTTCACACTTATCAAGATAAATCACTGTCGTATACTAATTGTAGGCATGTTATCATTTGTAATATGCTTGCCCGCAGTATCTTTACCACTACCACTTTTAAAATATTATAATAAGACATAAATATTCAATAACTTAGTAATAACGTCTCTTTATCTCAGGAGGTTTAGTAGAAGTGACGAACTGACTAGACACATGAGGACACACACTGGCCAGAAACCGTTCCAGTGCCGGATCTGCATGCGGTACTTCTCCCGCTCCGACCACCTCACCACCCACATCAGAACCCACACCGGGGAGAAACCCTTCTCTTGCCAGGTTCGTCAACTTCTACATTCAACCACGTTATTATTTTCAGAGTTATTGATATTTACTTTATGGTCGGATAACTATGAACTAGAATTGTAGTTCAGAGTAATTAAAGCTTTAAGTTCTCACGGTAATATGTAGTTTCACTTCAACGATGATTTCTAAAATAAAACTGGTTTTAAAACCGATTCGCTCATTGACGTATGATTTACGCAATCGTCGCCTTACCATCGTCAAGCAGACGTTAATTGGAGCTCTAAACTAAGCCACAACGATACTGTTAACCAAAATAGATAAAATAAATACCACCAAATAGTGATGGTTCAAGATTCGTTTATCTAATCTCGACTGTTTAGCGTTTACGTAACGGTTTACGTTTAACTACGTAGATAAGCAGTATAAGTTATTAAAGTTTACCCAATCACAAGACAATAAGTTCCCACCACTTCAGGTTTGCGGGAGAAGATTTGCCCGGAGCGACGAGAGACGGAGACACACCAAGATACACCTGAAGGACAGGACCCGAGCAGAGAAGAACGGGATATCCAAACAACAACTAGTACCCACTAGCTGCAGTCCTGGAACAGAGAAACCCCAACCACAGATCACAGCTTGTATACCACAGTATCAGGCTACTTACCACACTGCCTTCCAGTCCAATGTTATGGGCAACAATGGACAGCAAATTCAGGCAAATATGCACAAAATGTATGGCATGTTGCCTGGAAGCAATGGTATGTTGCCTATAAACGGTGAAACGATGTCAGGCAACGTCTACAACAAACAAGAACACCAAGATCCACTATACTTATATAATCAGCACATTTCACATCCGCAGGAACTCGGATTGATTTGAGCTAGAAACTGTTTGGAACTGACCTATTTTATAGATAGGGTCTTTTCACTTCTAAGTCAGATGGTTTTTACCTAATTGAGTAATAGTAATCACTTCAAGAAACAATGTTACTAACTTCGAATTTTTATCATTTTGACTATCAATCAGAATAAGTGGAGCATGTCTGAATAATTGAGAATATTTGCCGCTGAAGATTGTGTTTATTAATTTATCATTATCCATTATTGTGAGTTTTATGTTATTTTTTAAATAATTAAAGGATTGTTTTATTTGGTTTTACCGGTTTTAAGAGACCACCTGCCATACAATTACACAGTGAACTCACCAAACTGAAAATTATACAAAATTAAAATCAAACTATATTTGATTGGATTGTGCGCACATCTGTTGGCAGAAGTCTAATAATTACATCAAATTTAAATGTGAAGTACAATGGGCCACTACAGCCATTTAGGTACTTTTCTTTCCAACGCGTTACTTATGTAATAGTTCAAGTTTCTTTGTTATAAGACGTCTAATTAAGTTTGAAGCTAGGATACTTTCTATTTTCACTTAAGTTATACTGTGGGTGATTTGCACTTGGTAACAGCAACCAGATCGAGACCATTGTTCTGATTTCTGGATGATGTTGGTGACGTCATTAATTCCTCTAACAATGTAAGTTGATAAGCCTCCTCTAAATCTGGTCGAACTGAACACGACAATTTTTGGTGATCAGTGATCAGTCCCTGATTAGTAACGAAAATTAATCACCTAATCTTACTCATATCTTGAACGGCGAGCTGATAGAAACAGCTTGCTGATGCAGTGAATATTTCACCAGGGTTCTGTTAAGTGTGGTGTTCAGTTTTACTACAATAGAACAAATGTGTTGCAAGGAGGATCTCCAGTCGGTAATATCACCGCAATCAGATCACTTTTGTTCAGGTAAGAGTCCGAGTTTTCCCGTTCAGCACTGCAACTTTCAGCAATATATAGCAATCTATCATAAATGTAGGCTATGAAATTTATATATTCAGCCAGTATATTGAGCCAGTCAGATGATCTGAATACTAGCAAATTAAATGGTTATTTTTATTAAAAGTAGGAGTTAAAGTTAGAAGTTTGAGCGAGGGATGGATGACGTTAGCAGAAGCAAGAACAGAGGAACTGGCAGTGCAGTTAGGAGCCTTCAGATTAACTAGATATATCCAGGTATTCTGCAGTAAGGAGCCTTTAGATTAACCTAAATATATCCAGGTATTCTGCAGTAAGGAGCCTTTAGATTAACCTAAATATATCCAGGTATTCTGCAGTTAGGAGCCTTCAGATTAACTAGATATATCCAGGTATTCTGCAGTAAGGAACCTTTAGATTAACCTAAATATATCCAGGTATTCTGCAGTAAGGAACCTTTAGATTAACCTAAATATATCCAGGTATTCTGCAGTAAGGAACCTTTAGATTAACCTAAATATATCCAGGTATTCTGCAGTAAGGAGCCTTTAGATTAACTCGATATATCCAGATATTCTGCAGAAATCAGTTTAATGCAATCGATTACTGCAGGCTTTTAAGAAGCAATCAAAAGGATTCAAGGACTTCAATCGTTTCTATTTATGAATCTTGAATGCCTCAATTTCTGCATCGCAGAATACTTCGAATCACTTTTAGAGTTCCTAGGAATCAACTTACAGTTACAATGATTATCCCCCGATCAGGTGAACGGAATGAACTGGAAAGTGTGTGGTTGTAAATTTTCCCACGGTACTTTAAACGAGAGACTCATGTCACTGATGTACCTTAAGAACCATCCGGATGTGACGTCACAGGTGGACTGGAATATTCCAGAATATGAACAGGATAAAGGGTGTGGGTGTTTGGAAATGGTGGGGGAGCGTGGCTGTGCTCTGTTATACTCTGAAGAACCCGTTCATTTGCACGATATCAAACTTTTATGAGACAATTCATAGACAAATATTATTTTTTGTTATTTATTATCTCCGATTATTGTTTAGTATACAAATTAATAATACTAAGTTATCTCGATTCAGATGAAAAATTGAGGTTGGGTTTCCCTATCTCCACCGAATTAAATGTGGATTCATTTCAAGGCATCTTGGTGATACGTCACAGCATACTTTCGGCAAAAATGAAAATCCCTCCGGAGACGTTTGGAGAACAACAAAAATTTTGGGCAAACCTGGGTACAACTCAGAAGAGTGTATTTCTCCGAGTGTGCCAAAACTGTGCCCTAGCTTTCCCTAAATATGCTTGCTCCAAGTGAACACAAGTTATTTTTATATTGTGCTCATTGTATTGTTTTGACAGATTACTGAGTTCCCCGTGTAAAATAACTATTTATTTGTACAGATCATCTGAAAACAAACCTGCAATATTACTAAATGCCCGATCCGAACTGGTGGTTCCACTTCAGATACAGTTCCAGTTCACTCTCGTTTACACTCGACTTGACTCGTCTAGTAGACTCCACCAAATCAGCGAGCTCCAGGGATCGTACCTGTCAAGAGGGCTGACGTCAAGTGCTTCCCACGAGACTTTCTCGAACTTTATTAGAATATGAGCGTGGACATTTGGCGCCCACGTCATCTAAAAGGAGTGATTGGAGCGAGAAAACTTGTCACCACACCTACCTGCACTGGCTAAATTGCAAATTTGTGGGAGCTTTCAGCTTTGCAGAGCGACAACTGAGCGATCGTTTCACATCACATAGCTTTCGTGTAGAAATTACACTAACTTAGGCTTATCCAAACCAACCCCCCCCCCCCCCCCCCCCCCCCCCCTGATACACATAATATGCGAACAATCACTAATGGGAGTGTGTCAGTTGCCAAATCTTATCTATTGATAAAATGAGTGTCGTTACTTTAATAAGGTGGTTTTTCCTCTGGGCCGCTTCAGTTTTGTTAATAACAAAGTATTGCAAGTAATTTCCAACATTGATCATATGAATAATCTTTAAGTGTCGTACAAGTAGTGGAGAGTTTCAACCCAGGAATTAAGAAATTCTTATACGAAATAATACAATTTTTCAAAAATTGTATACCATTTATTCCATTCGCCCAATATCGGCAATTTATGAAAATCCAGTAATTATATAATACCTGATCAGGATTAATGTTCTCAATATCAGCTATGGATCTGATGGGAGCTAAAGCTGCATCCCTGCATAGTGACGTCATGTCTGCTCCAGAGTAACCTATCAAGGAGGTGGGTTGAGACATACAGCTTAGACTTTAGAGAGTATGAAGTTAGAGATTAAATGTAAGCAAGGGATCTTGGAAAGGTATATGGTTCACAATTCACATATCACTTACTACTACTACTACATATCACTTACTACTACTACTACTACTACTACTATTACTACTACATATCACTTACTATACTACTACTACATATCACTTACTACTACTACTACTACTACTACTACTACAGGGACGTAGCCAGGATTTTTCTTTGAGGGGGGCTGTCGGCGAGCGAAGCGAGCCGACGCGTCCAATCAAGCTGTGCCAGGGGTCCAGGGGCGGAGCCCCTTGGCGGGGGCTAGGGGGGCGCAGCCCCCCGGAATTTTTTTGCGAAACAGGGTGTTTTAGACGACATTTGGCATTAAAGAAATTTGTAGGACAGCAATAAACTGGGATTGAAAAGAATCAAGTACTCACGTAAATTTGGTAACTTCACAACAGCAATCTGCATTCTCCAATCAGAATTTACGACTTACTCAGGCCTCAGCTGACGACGATTAACACATGTTTATTGAAAGCTTCTACAAGTTAAATCATCGTATCTCTTATATGTTTTTAACCCAACTCCACTCAGTCTCATCGTCTTAAGATTTTTACATTTCCTACGGTCTAGGGGACACTATTGACTATAATTATAGAAGTCTTCTAGAATGTTTGCTTGGATTTAATGACATATATTTACTAATCCACAGTTCAAATCTTTGACTGACTGCAGTCATAAACACAGCCCAGTTACCAGGCGACCATGGGGACTAGGGGGCTTATCTTTTTTCTGGGGTTCGATTTTTTCCGGGGGGGGGGGGGCTGCCGCCCCCCTAGCCCCCCCCCCCTGGCTACGTGCCTGTACTACTACTACTACTACTACTACTACATATCACTTATTACTACTACTACTACTACATATCACTTACTACTACTACTACTACTACTACATATCACTTACTACTACTACTACTACTTCATATCACTTACTACTACTACTACTACATAAATTATCACTTACTACTACTACTAACTACATATCACTTACTACTACTACTACTACTAGATATCACTTACTACTACTACTACTACTACTACTACTACTACTACTACTACTACTACTACTACTACTACTACTACTACATATCACTTACTACTACTACTACTACTCATATTACTTACAATGTCTGAAGTGTAAGCCGTGATCATTTGATTGATTTTAGGTAGTATTGAATAATATATATGCACGCGGTGAATATTTGTATTGACAATTTGTAGAGTGGTGACGATAGGTTAAGTCTTATACTATAGCTTTATAATATTAATAATTGGTAGAATAATTGTTCGGGGGATTTAGAGGGGCCAGCATAGGTGGGTTACGCCGATGTGTGACACATCCTCCGATTAGGATCGGAGCCGGGGACGTTTCTCGGAAGGTCTTTGTGTAGTGGAACCACAGGTGATCGGTAGCCTTGGTTTGTATTAAGCTACCGGTGGTAGGTCAATAAGGGCATACTAATGTGCAACGAGGGTTGACGAGGCATAAAGTTGGTAGAGCTTTGATGAGGCTTCAAAGGTTAACAAGTATATTATTAGAGCAACACCTCAGATTTAGTTTGCCCGGTTGAGCAAGGGCCATTGTTGCAGGATGTTCCGGACCAGGATGTATTATGGTGAGATCCTGGAGAGCACGGACAGGGCTTACAGTAGTGGTATTTTTATGAGCACTTATTTGGCTTTAAGATAGAGAGACTGGGCAAGTAGGGTTAGAGCTAAGAGCAGTGAGGATCAACGAGGGTTGATCCTGGTCGTTTAGATTCCGGTAGGATCTGGCTTAAGCGGGGATCAACGAGGGTTGACCTGAGTTTACAAGATAGTAGGTTTGGCGGTATAAGTCTGGTTAATTAGGAGTTGTATCAGTAATCAGGAGTCGGTACAGTAATCAGGAGTCGTATAAGTAATAAGGAGTCTTGTCATTAATAAGGAGTAGTAGCGTTAATTAGGAGTGATTTTAGTGGTGAATAGTGAAGTTGTGTCATATTATATTTAATTACAGTTTAAGTACAAATATTGATCTCGTTTTCGTTGTTCGTGACCTTAATTACTACAAATGATCTACAGATCTAAAAGCAAGTGTCCACTGCTTACAGAAGTATATTGCTTTAAAAGCAATATGATATTATACTTCTTAACTTCTGCTTACAAGGTTAAACTACGGAATTTTATTGGGGTGTATTTTAAATTGGAGGAGCAAAAAGCCGGAAAATTATTCTCCAGAAACTGGAATATCATTCTTCAGAACTAGAAGAAGAATCCCACTAGGATGGGTGGTTATGATTTAATCTCCATTAACAACTGTCTCCAAATAAGTCCCTCTCTAAAAGGTTTACCGAGTTTGACAGTTAATATAGTACCGTGCGTGAGGTCCGCCACCCTCGTGACGTCATCATCAGTCAGACAGTGGTTTATCTGAGTTAAAAGCCTCCCTAAGATGTCAGCCCTGGCTGGCTTGTCAGGGAGGGGTATGTACAACCGCTTCACTAGTCGCCGTCTGAGGAGGAAGAGCAGGTCATACGATGATTAAATAAATTCAGTTAGATGCCCTTCACGGCTCACCAACTTTCCCAAACTTTCCAAACTTTCCCAAACTTTCCAAACTTTCCCAAACGTTTCCAAACTTTTCCACATGTCTTAAGGTCACTTTTTGCCACAACCAAAGAGATTCGTCTGCACACTTGTACGCTATATATCTGATTATATCTACTTGTCCTGTAAACCACCTATATTTCCAAGAAATTCACTTATAAAACTGAGTTAAACTGAGTTTTATAAGTGAAGAAGACATTTCCCCGTCTAACTGGAACACTAACCTGGCTGCCTCATCTATCTCCTGAGGTCTGTTAGTAGCTCCAACAATGAGTAATCTCTCCTCCGTCTCACACGCCACCCCGTCTAACTGAACAAGAGGAAGTTGTAAAATGGAGTTAATTTTATAGTACCACTCGGAAACTACTCGGACCTTGAGAGTTTTTAACATCTAGTACCACACGGGAGTTAAATAGTATATATGATATACAATTATATAGTATATAATATAGGTTAATATATATGATATTATATATATTAGCGTACCAAAGTAAACGATGTTTACTAAATTATATATACATAATTCACCATTCCATGAGAACTTTGTTGTAATTAACAAAGTGTTTAAAATTGAATAGGCACCTAACGACATTGGGGCTCGCGTTACATCTCCAAATTTTTGGTTTTTCTGCTTTGGCTTTTAATTCGTCGCTGTTATGTACAATTTTCAAATATTGCTCGCAATCGTTTTCGATATGAATTGTGCCATTAAAATAGTATGAACATATGATTTTAGTGACAGTCGACTAACCCCAATATTTCTATCATACGAATATTTTCTGTAACAATTTTCAAAACACCTGCACTCTACAGCATGGCACTTTCAGCTAGAACGAAAACCATCCTAACTCTACTACTTATCATTTTTGTTATTTACGGCGTTGTTAGAAAACCGAAAGAGGATGATGGTATTGTGAATTGGAAGTCAGATATGGGAATAACAGAGAATTGGTCCCAAAAAAGTCACGTAGAGTCAAAAAAGCAGGATCCAGCCTACACACTTACTATAAACCCAAACAAAACAATAATTATAATCCTTGCAGCCTTCAGGAGCGGGTCTACATTCCTGGGCAGTATTTTCGACGCAAACCCTGACATACAGTATCTAATGGAACCGTTCCACAGCGAACACATGAGGAACCTGAACACACGTGGAGCCATATTTGGAGAGAGGTCGGACCACACGGAGGCAGACTGGAGGATGTTGTATCTCCAGCAGATGCTTCACAACTGTACCCTCTACCAGACTCCCTTCCCTAGTAAACACAACTGGTGCGGAACTAAAGCCGAACATCTTCACAGATTCAATACTGCCGAGTGTAACAGAAGCCAGTGGGTGAACGGGTTGTCTCAGCAAGCTATCTGCAGATACCGCAAGATAACCGTTATCAAGGTTATACGGTTAACAGATCTTACGGAACTTCTAAAAATTGCAAACATTAAATCGGCAGATATCAAAATCATCCATTTATTACGGCATCCTGTTGCTCTGATGATGTCACGGAAAACAGAACGGTTCTTCTTTAATTGGAACGAAAAGACAAAAATTGAGGGAGATAAATCAATAGATGCCATACCTCAGAGAAGAATTAAGGTAGCGTGGGAGGTATACAAATATTGTAGCGATAATTTACGATCAACTGCTTTTATCGAAAACAATCCATGGTTCAGGGCTCGCTACATGAGAGTCACACATCGAGACATGAGCTTGAGACCTCTGGGGGTGGCAGAGAAAGTGTATGATTTTATCGGGGAAACTATGATTGACAAAGTCAGGGAACATATTTTCAACGTAACCGGAGCACAATCTGAAGGATACTTAAATAGACAACCTGAAGCCCTTAATATATTCAGAAATTCTACAGATGTCATCACCCAGTGGAAGAAAATAACGGGAAGGTACGTTCAGTATTGGGACATCTTCTCGATTGAAGATCAATGTAAGCGACTTTTTGGACATCTCGATCAGCCGTTTACCGTAGATAGCGTTTCAAGGAATTACAAAATGACTAGAGATATTCATGCTGATTTAGATGACTACGAGTATTCTGATTAATGACCCTAAGTTAATTTAACAGTGCATCTTTATTCATGTATCTTACTTCCGTAGAGTAAGTTTAAGAAAGCACAATTAAGAAAAGCGAGAAGTTAAAATATTTATGTGGAAATGTTCTCATTTTATATTTGAATTTGTATGCTGGGATATGCTGCTTTAACTTGATAAAAGTCTTTAAGACATAAAAATCCGTTAACACCGCAATTCCAGTCGCAAGCCTGGGACCACTACTAGCATTGTCACAACATCTACAAAGCTGCCATATAGCCTGACTGACAATTTTCTCGACTGACTGACAATGTTTCTTCTCTTCCCCATTTAGAATACAAAGATTAGTACATTTTAGCTTATGATTAATATTATATTTTTACCTATAGTTTACCTAGATTAATACTCCAAATTAACACATTGTTCACTCGCTGAAACGCCGTGTAAGTTAAGTATACGGACATTTGGCAAACTGGACAGATAGTTTCAGTTTATAGGAAGAAGTTTTCCCTGTAATTTTCAAAATGCTTTTTAATACCGACTACATAGTACAATGTACATACATATAATATAGACTGTAATATAGCAAATTTCAAACTTGGCACACTAGATTACCTGAATCAAGAACTCTGTTTTAATTCTCCTGGAACTCTCGTGCTCAATCTCCGAGCGTTGTGAAAGCAGTGAGTCGATCTCGTCAATGAAGATAACGGCGGGTTGATGGCATCTAGCTACCGCGAATAGAGCTCTCACCAACTTCTCTCCTTCACCTGGAGTATAAAGTTTGGTATAGGGGTTTCAGTTGAGATTATGACTGCTTAACCTGGCACTGATTTGGCTTAAAGCATCCTGAAAATTTATAAAAGTTTGGAATCAAAATTATTTGCAAACGCGCTATTACAAAGTTAACTTTAATCAATAGTTAATCTTTCAGGAGTTTCAGAAGGTAGTTAGGCGAATCTTCTTGATAATCTCTCGGGAAAAGGCGCTTAGCAATGTACGTGACGTTGGGGTGGTGGGTCATATTTTCTTCCAAAACACAGTTAGCACTTTTGTACTAAGTGGTGGATCTGCTGCTCATTTCCCAGAAAAACGGTCAGTACATGGTACTAAGGGTGGTGGTTTCCAACCCCAAAAAACCCATTTTACCTCAAATTTCCATTTTAAGAGTGGGTTTTTTGGGATTTTTTGAGGTTTCTTTGAATTTTTCCCCCTTTTTTTGTAAATTTGTATCTTATTCGACTGCATTGAAAACAAAACCCCTACTAATTACTAAATAGTAGGTAATTTGCCCATTTCCCAAAAACAGTTAGTAAATGGTACTAAATAGTGGGTCTTAGGTCTAATTTGCCCAAAAACAGTTAATAAATGAGGGTATTATTTATTAAACAGAATGTGATTGATATTTTGTATAATTTTTTCCTTTTCACCCTTTTGAAAAAAGGCAATAGTGAAAGGTTACAAATGGAGGTTTTTGCAGAAAAACGTGGATTTTGAAGATTGCAGTAGGTGGGTCTAAGTATGTCGTGTTCCTTGCTTCCGTTCGTTACCAAGCAACGAAAAAGTTGCGCGCGCGCGAGGATTGCTTGCGGAGATGAGATGTATAGATAGCTTGTGATCTATAAGTATAAATGCGCGGCGCGACTGTGTTTTAATGTATATGATGCATGTAATGTATAATATTATTATTAGGTAATACGCCCAATTTGTACGTGGCACGCGTAGTGTATTGATGTGTACACGAGTATAGTTTACCTTTGCTGATAATTTCTTGAATTACAGATACAAGTTAAGTTCTACGGCAATTGAACTGAATTTTCCCCCGTATTTGATGCATAATTTATCAATATTACTATCATGAAGATTGAAGTGAGCTGATTGGAGCTTATACTTAAATTTATAGTAAATGTGAAATGGAAATCTAGCGTCCGCCAAAACGAAACAACGGGCGCAATTCTTGTTAAAAGTGGCCTTTGTTGACTTCCCACTTGAGTCTTGAGAAGGTGCAGTGTTAAATTTATTTTAAAATGTATTTCAACTACTGGCTCTTGGATGATGTGTCATGTAGTACAAACATGTTTCAGTACATACCATCACCACCAATATAATGACCTTTTGAAAGGTTGTGTCCATGCAAGTCGTATACACTGAAACAGCTTTATGTCCACCAGCGGACTCTTTTTGCTACAGCGGGCACGCGCAGCCTGCTACTAAAAAGGCCCAGCATTTTTCAGCCCGCTAGCATTGTATAATATGTATTTGATTAAGCATAGATATCTCAACTGTTACTTTCATTGTTTACATTCCATATCGGATCTTTTTAAAACTAAAAAGTCATGTTTAATGAGCTGTTTAAAGCAATTTTTGGGTGGGTATCTTATTTTATATACCAAGACACAGTTAGTGTCTTAGTGCCCCCGATTACGCAACTCCCAGGTCAAAGCAGTGTACTGCAACGAATGTTATAAAACTAACGAGTTAAACAGCACGAAAATCGTCAAAACATGTCACCACATGTTCACAATCTAAACTTAATATTACATAATCGTCGGTGATAAAAATAAATGCTGGATTAGTCACCCGAAAAATAAACACTCGGATTAGTCACCCTCATGAAATTTTGTGTGATTTTTAAGTTGCATACCTTGTGTTACTTGGCAAGGTCATGACCTTGCTATAAACGGTATTATTGAATACATTGAAATTTTTTAGATGCATTCTGTTTGTAATGATAACTTTTAAAAATTGATCATTTTATGAGATGCTTAAAAACCTTTGCGCTCCTTCAATTGCTTACTTCTCAATAAGAACACTTTTTCCTCGGCTTCGATGTTGTATCTAAGTTACGATTTCAGTATCGCGGTCAGGAGTATACTATTTAATTGGTGTCTTCTTATTCTTCATTATTCTTAATTAGTTGCAGTTTGTGTCTGTGATTTACTGTGATTCCTATAACTTATGGATCTATCGTAGCAAACGCAGAAAGTAAACATGGACGGGGAGACTCTGAGGAGACTACAGGGAAGTATAGAACTGCTCCTTAACCAGAACAAATCACTCAATGAGAAGATGGAACAGATCCAAAATGGCAGTAAAGGTCAACTTTACGGTGCAGGTGCTAGAGTCAAGGCTAATATGAACAAATTGGTTGAACTGAATGGGGCAGCGGTTTCGATAATGCACGATATGATGGCGGTAAAAACGGAGATTGTAATGGACGGACATCACGATTTTGGTAACGTTGAGTGGTTTTACAATCAGGACGATTTCAACCGTCTATGTGGAGGACGAAATTCATGGGGATTCGACTCAAAACCTAAAGAAGAAAAGTTAGATATCATCTTTGGTCAAGATGGGGATTATTCGGCAAGTTCCTTGAAACGCTTTATCGAGAAGTACAGAGTGGTGAAGGAACTCAATGAGACTACGAGTCACAAGGGATGGGACTCTGCAGAATTTCGGGCCAACAAGCTCAAACTATCTTTGCAAGGCGATGCTTTTGATTTCGTGAGTTTTGACGACTCTATGGGCCACGAGTGGGCCAGAGATGATGGAGCAATCATAGAGAAGCTACAAGATAGATACCTAAACGTCCAGGCGATTGAAAATAATATTACAAGCTTTGAAAAAAGTTGTCAAGGAGAAAGAGAGCTATTAAACGAGTTCATGACTCGACTTAAGCTGCTTGTTAAAGACGCCTTTGAAGGAGAAACTCAGAGAGAACTAGACCGCAAAGTTGCTTGGAAATTTGTAAGTGGAGCAAGAGACGAAAAAGTAAGAAGAAAGTTGGTAGAAGATGGATGGATGAGAAATAGAAGAGAAGCCAAGCCACTGGAGGAGCTCTTGAAAATGGCCGAACTGGCTAAACGAACCGAGGTTAAAGCGGTAGTTTCTCGGCCCCCACCACCACTGACCGTGTATAAGGAACCTGAGCCTCCCGTCGTCGTGTACAAGCAACCTGAGCCACCTGCACCTGTTGTTGTTAACCGAGTCAAGAAACCTTCTACCGAATCAAACCACTCCACCTTATCCAAATCTTCTGAGGCAGAATATATGCAGTGTTGGTTCTGTGATTCCAAGCATAAGGGCGGTTGGCGGAACTGCGAGAAGAGGAAAGTGGAAATGAGCAACCATATGGGAGTTAACAAGGAAAAGTTGAAGGACAAGCTGAACAGTCTTAACAAGAGTAAAAGTGCCAAATCTTCAAGGAGAAGTAGCGTCAAGGATTTTCAATAAGCACCCCACCCAATGAGAGTAAGGAAGAGAAGGAGGATGAGGAAGGAGTTGATGATATGGGCGGCATCGCTGTCCAGAACAACATCAACAGTTTAATTGCGGACTGCATGACTGACATCAAAGCTCTAAGCAAAATAAACACAGACGGCGAGATTAAAGAAGATAGTGAGGGTGAGGGTGCAACAGATAAGAAAACTTCTAAATTTTTTCATTATAGACGAGTTAAGAGTTCTGTATTGTAAATATTAGCAAATGCTAAACGCTAAATGTAGCGATTATTATCAAATATGATCATAATATATGTGGCAAATAATAAGTAACCGCATGAAATAAAGTATTGATATAACGTCTTGTTGAGTGTATGTATCTAGAAAACGTATGTTTTACGTTATAACTTAATAGTCTGACCTTTTTCAATCTGTGAAGAAAAGTAAATGATACAACTACCACTTCCAATCTAGCAGCCAGATAAAGAGTAATACTTATTCAATGTACAATATATATGCGCGGAACGGAACAGGAAACTAAATGGCCAAGTAAGGTGAGCTAAATAACTTTATTCAAGCTGCTTATTAACATAATAATAAGAAAATAGCACCATTATTTAAGACATCTACGACATAATCTGAGTCGGAATTTTACGAGCCCTAAATAATGCGGAGTTCTCAATCATTACCGCCTAAATAAACATATTTATGAGTTATCACTTATATCATTTATCATTGTATTTGGTTAAATAAGCGACTCGTTTTATTAATCCTTCATTTTCTGTCCCTAATTTATTTTCTATTTAAAATTACCTACCAATCCACTTGCTGGTGAGAGAAGACGCCGATATGCTGAAAAAAGTAGACTTCGACTGGGAGGCGATGCACTTTCCGATCAGCGTCTTCCCAGTTCCTGACAAAGTTTTGATCATTCCAATTCTTTTAAACCAGAGTTAAATTAAACGTGCATTACTTACTACCTAGTAGAAGCACATAACTGAATGAGGTTATTTTATCAGAGAGAAAAAGCGGAAAGCTGATGAGTCAAATAACTGTTATTCATGCTGCCAAGATATCAATTCCATTAAAAATAAATTGCAGAGGGGATGCTAAAACAACAAGGTTGCTCTAACCAGGTGGCCCGAAGAGGAGAACTCCTTTTGGGGGTCCTCTCAATCCGGTGAAGATGTCAGGTCTCAACATCGGCCAAACTACTATCTCCTTGATAGTTTTCTTAGCGAATTCTAGTCCCGATATATCGTCCCACCCTAACGTTAATCCTAAAGAGAATGGTGTAACAGGGAAAAGTTAGAACTTTAAATTCAAAGTGTGATATATAACCTGATGGTTACTGATAATTGAACATGCCACGATATTTTCAGCACTATTTCCCCCAAAAATGTAAGAGCGCTAACCACCTCTTTAAGCAGTTGCTCGACAAGCTAATAGTTATTATGGTGTGAAATTGAATTCCTTACTCAGTCATTACAAAGAAAGAGAACAGAATGAATAGGAGGAACACTGTATGGTTCCTGGATTTCCAAAGAGGTAGTTGGAAAAAAATCGGTGGTAAAATTGATGAAATTTTGATATCATGATGTTAGTAGTTCTTTCAAAATGTATCCTAAAATTATTTATTATGTAGAAGTGTGAAAAATAATCAGATTGAGATAAATAATAACATCGCAGTGATTTCTTTTTTCCATTCTCAAGACGTGACTCATAGCGACCACTCTACCCACAGCGATAACATAACTTTTCAGGATGACGTTACCATAAATACAGGGGATATTCAATTACACCTACTCTAGAACAGATTGCTAATTCAATCGCTAGCAAACATGGCACTTCATACCGTTACCAGCTGTTGCAAAGCCAAAAGCAAAACCATCTTTCTCTATTTCTGAAGAAAAGAATTATCTCCACAGTTGCCTAACAGTATTACGCGTGACGCACATTAGGGCTTAAATCATCAAATTTATCTGTGTTGCAGAATTTTTTCTCCATTTAAGTTTCCGATACCGCTTGTTATTCCTACTAGGTCTTGAGTTGTTTTAAGGTCTGATTGTCTTATTAATATTCAGCGTCGTTAAATTTTAAACTTGTTTCTGTAACTATTATTTCCACAACGATTTGCTGTAAATGAGAGTTGATTTTTGTTAGATGAGAACAGCGTCTTTCTCCCACCCTTCACCTTAATTGAACAATATTGGGCTTAATTTGGAGCCCAGTGCTTCACAAGAAGACTCGATAAAACAACAGTTAGTCGACCTTCAAGTTCGGCGCTTAATTAATCTACACTTTGATTTCCCACGATCTGTGATTCATTTCTGCGACATATAGTGAGTGGGTGCGTGTCTAACCGTCGGTTTAGAAATCTTGTCATTGATGGCATTTGCTTTACGGATAACCACAGTAAATCGCTATTCACTACAACTGTGAACTTTGATCCATCACATTAATTAACTATTGTCATCATTAATGTATTTGTAACCAACCAGCCAACTTACTTTATTTATTTACTAGGTAATTCTTGCCCATTTAATGATCGTAACGATAAACCATAATTCTTTATCTAACGAGCAGTCAAAAGTTTATTTAGAATAAATGAAGAAATCTTTGATCCCTCCACCACGAAATCTCAAAGCTCTGCAACAAGAAAAAGATGGGCAATCATACGAAAAAAGGGACAAGCTGTTGCAAAATATTCTGCAAAGTCATAATTTAGGGAGAAGCATAGAACGACCGTCAATTCTGCTAGTCGGTACAGCTGGAGTCGGGAAATCTAGCACTATTAATCATCTATTTGATTTATCTGACAATAATTCTGTGACCTTTGCCAAGACCAGTGCTTCTACCTCACAAACAAGGGCTACCACTGAGTTCCTTCTTGAGGTTGATTCTCCGCCAGTCCGTTTCGGAACTTCTGCTCTCAGACTGGCTCTAGTTGATACTCCAGGTTTCAATGATACGGGAGGCACTAAACAGGATGCCTGCAACTTCTATTCTATAAAAGGAATGTACGATAAACACATGAATGGCTGTAAACCAAATCTTGTTCTAATTTTAATACAAGCAACAGATACACGGATTCAGGGTGAGAATAGCAACCTTGCCAAGTCATTGAAATGTTTGAAGGCTCTGAAGCTTGTAGACTCTAGATATCCCAATGTAGTTGCTGTGCTTACTTTCGGCACTGCACTAGGTGAGAAAGCGAATAGATTTACAAAAAACATTGCTTTAAAGAAAGAAATTGTGAAAGAAACGCTTTTCAAGTTTTTAAACGTGCAAACGCCTGTAGTAGCTTTAGAAAATGACGTAGAAGATCTCGAGGTAGATGGAGACTTCACCATCTTACCGGATGGGGTCAGGCAGCCGCAGAATCTGTACAATGTTTGTCAAGATGTTTTGAAAAATAACGGCGACTTGTATGGTCATCTCATATTTAATGAGGCTTTCAGATCAAACAACAACAGAAACATGAGCATTGGCTTCAAAGTTGATGCAAAAGATGCCAACAAAAATAAGCTATCGAAAGAAGAAAATGAATTTCACGAGTTTCTTTTACAAGCTATGGCAGGTAGACGGTAGTAAATTCAGAGTGTGATGCAACAGCCGTTAAATTTCTAAACGAACATTTCTTTTGATTATTGTTGAGGCTTTAATATGGATGAATAAGGCACAATATGAAATTAAGTTTAAACCATGATTATTGAAACTATCATCTTGCTGTTGTGCATAAAAATAGAACATTTAAATCTCAATTGTATTCTTGAACGCAGTTTTCATGATTTCGCAAACGTTTTCATGATTTCGCAAACGGCATAAATAAATTGTTCACTTTTAATTTTCTGTTATTGATCTTTAGCAAAATAAATTTAGAATTTTATGAAAAATAGTAGGTTTAATCATTAAAAATTTCGCACAGGTCTACAATATGGCAGGAGTGTTAAAAGCCCCACCACGGAACATGAAAGCTTTGGAAAAGGAGGCAGCACAGCGTGGCCTGATGGACAGAGATGAGCGGACATACGACAAAAGGGATCAATTACTGGTAAATATTTGGTCAAGTAAACGCCTAGGGAGAAGCATAGAACGGCCGTCAATTCTTCTGGTAGGAACTTCAGGAGTCGGGAAATCTAGCACTATTAATCACCTATTTGATTTATCTGACAATAATTCTGTGACCTTTGCCAAGACCAGTGCTTCTACCTCACAAACAAGGGCTACCACTGAGTTCCTTCTTGAGGTTGATTCTCCGCCAGTCCGTTTCGGGGCTTCTGCTCTCAGACTGGCTCTAGTTGATACTCCAGGTTTCAATGATACGGGAGGCACTAAACAGGATGCCTGCAACTTCTATTCTATAAAAGGAATGTACGATAAACACATGAATGGCTGTAAACCAAATCTTGTTCTAATTTTAATACAAGCAACAGATACACGGATTCAGGGTGAGAATAGCAACCTTGCCAAGTCATTGAAATGTTTGAAGGCTCTGAAGCTTGTAGACTCTAGATATCCCAATGTAGTTGCTGTGCTTACTTTCGGCACTGCACTAGGTGAGAAAGCGAAGAGATTTACAAAAAATATTGCTTTGAAGAAAGAAATTGTGAAAGAAACACTTTTCAAGTTTTTAAACGTGCAAACGCCTGTAGTAGTTTTAGAAAATGACGTAGAAGATCTCGAGGTGGATGGAGATTTCACCATCTTACCGGATGGGGTCAGGCAGCCGCAGAATCTGTACAATGTTTGTCAAGATGTTTTAAAGAATAACGGCGACTTGTATGGACATCTCATATTTAACGAGGCTTTCGGCCCCCAGAAAAAGAAAGTTACTATGGGGAAAAGTATGACAGCAAGGAATGCGGACACAAGCAAGCTATCTAAGGATGAGCATGAGTTCTTCGAGTTTTTCACTCAAGCAATGGCTGGTGGTTCTATAGATCCGTTAGTACAAGAAGCAGATGATTTCTTGAAAAAGGAGAACATATCTGATAATGGGGAAATTGTCACAGAAATCCAAAGTCTAGTGGGGTCTTTGAGAAGGATCGGTATCCAGGAACTGAAAGACTTGACGCACGTTTCTGTGAATGGATTGAATTTAAAACATCTCCAGACAGTCAGCGAAACCGGAAAAAAGTTTCTGTCCAAAATTGGAGTAAAAGATACCACCCATCAAATCGGGAAAGATTCAGCGACTGTTTTGGCGCAAGGGTACAATGTTCTAGATGGTTCTGTTGTTCAAAGCCAAATATTCGACTATAAATTGAAAGATTCGATGTTTGGCATATCTATCCCAGAATTTTGCCATATTAAACCCAACAATGTGACGAAGACATTCATTCTATCTTACGACACCGAGGAATTACTCATTAAGGACAGACTAAACCATCTTAATGTCTCTTTGGATGTCGATGAAAGAAAGTTTGTAGTGAAGAAGATACCAGGATTTAATCTCAAGCCAAAGATAAACGAAAAAAATGCCCCTGATCAAGAAATATCTTTTTACCTAGAAGAAAGGCTTTTTGAACTAAGCATCGGAAACCTCAAGAGTGAAAATATTGTTTTGGCAACAAACTTTGTCTCTGCAATAAAGGCTCTTCCTGTGAAATTCGACATTAACAACGCAAAAACCAGACTTGTCTTTGAACAGTTCTTTAATCGATGGGGGCATTTTGTTGTAACGAAAGCATACGGAGGTGGTTCTGTTGAGCTTAGAATAAACTCTACAAAACTTGGTCTAGACATCAACGCTATAAAAAGATCATTGATAAAATCTATGAGTGCTGGCTTCTTGGACGCAGATACTTCCATAGACAATAACGATGATTGGTCAACAACTGTAAGAGTTGGACAGCTTCTTGAATCCACTACTGTTGTATGGAATGGTGGAACTCAGGAGCTTAAGAAAATAAATACTCTTCAAAATGAACACAGTATGGACATGTGGAAAAACTCGCTAGTGGCAAATCCAACAATGCTCACAACTGACTTGGCTCTTGAACCTATTTCTACGTTTGTTGAATTGACAGACGCAACCAAAAAGGATGCCGCTTATGAAGCTCTGAAAAACATTCTAAGGGGGGATTTTGAAATTGTAGCCAAAAGACAACAAGATGAGCAAGAAAAGGAAAGAAAACATAATGCAGCTGTAGAAGAAGCAAAGAAAAAGGAAACATTATTGGAACGACAAAGAAAAACCGTTGAAGAACAAAGAAAAGCTGTTGCCGAACAGAAGCGATTAGAACAAGAAGAGGAGAAGATAAGGGCTGAAAGAATAAGAAAAGAGGAGTTGCACAGGCAACAGGAAAGACAAAGAGAAGAAAAAGAAAGAGCCGAAAGAGCAGCAAGAGCAGAAGCAGAAAGAGTAGCAAGAGCAGAAGCAGAAAGAGTAGCAAGAGCAGAAGCAGAAAGAGTAGCAAAAGCAGAAGCAGAAAGAGTAGCAAGTAATACCAGAGCGGCAGCTGTTGCTAACAATCCAACACCAAAAAGTAAGGGTGGCTCCAAATGTTTTCCCCCACAATCGACTGTTAGATCCATGAGAGATGGTGTCGAAATAACCCTCAGACTTGGGGAAATAGTTGTAGGTGACCTCGTTTTAACCTATGACTATACTAAGAGACGTCTCGCTTACACAAAGCTTATTCTTTGGGCAGATGCTGATTTTCATACTCCGACTGAGTACTTCAAACTGGAACTAGAAGATGGATCCAGTATCAAGGTAACTGAAGATCATTTAATTTTGGTGGATGAATCACATCGAGCTATCATGGCGAAAAATGTGAAGCCGGGAGATTTGTTATATAAAGCGAATGTAGGATATTTGAAGGTAAGAACAGTCCGCCTGGTGACAGAGAACGGTTTGTGCGGACCTATAACAGGATCCGGAACTATTTTAGTGGACGGTATCCTGGCCAGCTGTTATGCCAACTTAACAGACATGTGCGTCTTCGGAAAAGTTATCATTTCAGCACAACTGCAGGGAAAGACCGGTTTTGCGCCATTGTTGTTCTACAGAAAGTTCACCAAAGACAAGACCGAAAAACTGGTTGAATTTGAAGGACTTCACCCGTACGTAGCCTCTCTCATTAAGATGTTCCGTCCGTTAGTAAAATACTAGAGCACGGTATTTCAAAATAGACTATGGCCAATTATAGTGCCCAAAAATGGGAAGTAAAGATCTGACATGGCACTTAATTAGGAACGGAGGTTTAACAACATTAACTGTTATTGACACTGTCTATTGTTAAAACTGGTTCCAGTCTTTGTGTTTTGACAATAAACTATTGAAATTATATTCAATAGATTGAAAACTAGACCAATTTTGTTATTAATTCTTTTTTTTAACTCATCAAAGATGCATTTTATGAAGCAAACTACGATTTCGTTACTATACAGTTTTGATTAAAAGGGAGTTTTCAAATGTACTGTTTCAAACGGTTATTTACAAATCAAGCTTTAAATAATATCTGGAATTCAAGACTGGTGACTTTTGTATTAATGAAGCAAGATTGGCGAAAGAGTTTTAGTTTTTTTTGCACGTGCGTTTACAATCAGCTGATTTACAGTTGAATAGTTCTTACATTGAAAAAGCTATTAATTTAATTGTGCTTGAACTTTTAAAGAACCCAACTGCTTACTGTCCGCTCTCATTCTTTTAAAGAAATTAAAATGTAAATTTTTTTCAATAAATTACCCACCTTTATCCATTATTTCATTTAGTATGAGTTTGGCTAACTTTTTGTCGACTCCCTTCATTCTCTCGTCTTCCCACTCCTCATCCTCTTCCTCCTCTTCTTTTGACGCTACGGGAGGCTTGTAACCCTGAACAAACCAGTGAACACTGAGCAATGATTATATTGGGGTAAGTCTGCAAATCATAATCTGGAATAAGAAAATATAGATTATAGGTATTACGTCATTGAAATTAAGATACCAATGAAAGTATCCTAACATAAATCTTGTCGGCCAGGACTCTCAGATCTTATAACTTATTAATTTTCATCATTTTAAAACTTAGAACCTTCGAATGTGCGGTTTTTCCGCCCAACGATTTCTTGATAGAAGGGTCGATATCTTTGCCCTGTTTGATGCAATCAGTAGCATATTTCGATTTTGCAGATTGAAATGGATTGGGAGCTGTTTGCCCTGTGTTTTGTTCACAAGTTCTCAAGTTTTGCAAGCGAGTTCGGCCAGGATAAACACGATTTTTCAGTCTGTCCGGGAGTCGAGATTTTCCATAAAATTGGGGTATAGTACGGGTAGTAGATTCGTTCGAGGCAACTTCGCGTTCTTCTCTGATGATCTCACGTGGTTTTGTTAAGTCACGTGCTAAGTTTTTGTCGAGGATTGGAGAAGGGGGCGAGGTCCTTGGACGTTTATTGGAGGTGTGAGGATATCTTTCTTGGGTGGGTATGTCGGGATTTGACTCCTCTCTTGTTATGGGGCACGCTAGACCTGTAAATGAAATTGGTTGAGATATTGAATATCATCAGTGATCACTCTGTTTTAATCCACATAACACATTATAAAGTTCCAAAAACAGGAAATATATCAAACCTAGTTCACTTCTGGTAAGCCAAGTGATGTCTTGAGTTTGCTGAAGTACAATACTGCGTAACTCAGGGTTATCCGCAGACAACGAGCAAGACCACAAACTTGTGTCTAATTCACTCGTATCCTGGGAAACTTGCTCTAAACTCTCCTCAAGATAGTTGTTTAGACCTGAGTGTTAAACTATAAAGCCTCAATAGTGAACAGGACACTTTAATCACTGCAAATTATTGAAGTATTGCGAAAAATTTGAATGGTAAATTATTTCAGACTATAAAATTCCAGAAGTAATAACTAACCATTCTCCGAAGCGTCGTCTACGAGTTTAGAATACAAGCGATTACAGTTCATCTGATCGCTGTTTATTGCCGCAAATAGCCTGGATATGAAAGATATCGTTTACTGGCTTACTTTTATTGACAATATGATAGGATTCACTACCATTAATTCACCATGATGCGTCATAAGTATGAAGTGTACTGTTAAAGGATATATTTCAAGCTGTCGCCACGTAAAGACAATTAAGTGACACAACTAGAGAATAACAACATTTCATTCTGAAAGCAACAAAATCTCTGCAAGATTTCACATTCAAAACCAACCTGCATGCTCTGTTTACTGGAAGTAACTCACGCCGAATCTTCAGTTGATATTGAAATATTCTTCATGCACTCCAGTGCGGCCAGTTCCTTGAGTATATGGTCTGCTTCTTCCACTTTATCCATATTACAAGTAACCGTCTGTTTGTTTGTGGTCCATCTCCCAAGAAGTTTGTCGTAGTCCATATCTGAAACATGCTCCAGTTTTAGGATAATATGATTTACGCGAAATCATTTGTTTTTTAAAGATTTAACAACTCGATTGATAAACTCTCAGCCAGTTTTACATGTCCATCGAACATAAAACGGTAGCTCATGTTTAGTAAGCGAAATTTCGAATTCAAGTCAGGTCACTATTTTGTCTAGATTACAATTCTACACTTTGAAGCAAGTAAACGCGTGTGATTCAAATGCCGATCAACACAAAATATTAAAACGCGCGTTCCATTTTAGAACGTTACAAACTCATGTTTTTAAGGATGCAATCAGCGATAAAAATTAAAACTCTTAAGAATATTTATTGTGAAAAGAATACCCTATTAAGAATCAACATCTTGATTAACTTAAACCTTAAGCACCTCACAAATTTGGTGAAATATTAAGATATCTTCATCCCAATACATCTGATCAAAATATAACTTTTATGGAACCCAACTTACTTTAAAATACATTTTCAGGTTTTATATCAATAGGTTCGACATCCGCAATGGGTCTTTTTCTATGCTTGCGACAATGCATTGCATACATCTCCTTTGATGTCGTATAAAATGAACATTTTGAGCACTTCAAAGCGTTGCTCTTATGTGTTTTCTTGTGTTCGTTCAGAACAGTCTGTTTGGAGGCGGTAAACGTACATTTTTCACATTTATAGTACAAATTGTTCGGGTTCATACAAGTATAAATAACGTTTGATTTCTGACTATCATTAGATATCATGTTCTGTTGGTAGTCCACTATCGGAAACGGAAATGATCGTTCGTTTGTTGGTTCCTTATCTTCCTCTACAGGAATATCGGGGATATCTATCTCAGGAACAACAATGTCCGGTAGAGCTGGCTTCACATCCTCTTCCTCCTCAGGCTCGCATTTTATTGGAGGATGGTAGTGGCTTCTCACGTGATCAGTGAACGCTTCCTCCTCGAGCACCGCACTGCAAATACCGCACTGGAATTGCTGGAATATCTGTGGAAAGTGATGCGAAATGTCTTGAGGGTAAAACTCGCATTTGATCTTGGGAGTTAGAGTGCTGTCAGTGGTGTCGTCACTGGTAGGTTCTTGTTTGACTTTAGTTCGTGACATTTGTTTGCTTGGTTACTATGTGCTGGTGATGGGTAGCTTCTGGAGTATACATCAGCAACAGGAGGTCTAGTTGAGCTTTTTATTTCTACATTATATCTTCCTGAGATAGTACTGTGATAGAAGTTCTTGCTTTAAAAACTTTCATGAATCAGTAAGTTAAGACTGTGATAGAAGTTCATGTTTTTCAACATTTATTCATAAAACTGCGATAAATATGTTTTAACATCGTTATTTTCTTTAAACGTGTTAATTTTGATTAAATTATTTCAAATCTCGTCTAAAGCAATAAAAGTCAGGTCTTCATTATGAAACGGAATTATAGTTTTCTGTAATTAAACTAATCATAAAACTGAATAAATGAAACAAAAAATCTTTAAAAAGTGATCACCAAACAAAACATTTACAACCCCCAATGATCAAAGAAACATGTATTAAAGAGTTCGAAAGTACGATAAGAACATGGTTAACAAGCGATATGGACACGTTCATTTGAGTTTGAGGATATTGGTAAATATAAGTGACCCTATTAAAAGGCACAGTGTAGTTGACTTTGTCACACTATGAAATTACTTAAACCCTTGATGGTTAGGATAATCGTCTCATCCTTCAGGCTAACTTTGTCACATAACGATATCTTAATCAGGTGATAAGATATCGCTTAAATACGGCCGGCACGGAAATGGTTACATTGTCACACTATAAACATGTGACGTAGTAAATATGGACACCTTGCTGTCGTTTTTGACCAAATTTTTGAGTGTCCAGTTGATTGGATGGGTACATATGACCATTACCTACATATTTGACGACTTTTTTCGTTAGATGGTGCATTCAGGTTTACTCTGTCACACATTAAAGAAAATATGTGATGAATGTTTAGGGCACCCTGATAAGCAATGCTGAGTAGTGTAAGTTTATTTGATGGCCTGGAAGTGCAGGGAATTGTTATTATATCATATAGTCGTAAGGGATTAAAACACAGAAGGCACAACCAAGCTTACTTTGTCACATAATCTTGATGATATCTGAACATGTGTGAAATTGAACAAATAATGATATACCAGCTTAAACCCCTTATATTATACGTACTATGGATCAAACAACACTGCTAGTACCATGCACCAGTCACATAAATCATTATCAGGTGGTAATATGTTAACAGTGTCACAATTAAACTACCGCAACATGGTCAAAAATAGGGTAATTTCGTCACAAAAAATTATTATAACTCTGTTAGCTCCTTGCTGGCAAAATAACTAGTTTATCGAAATTTTTTTGATGATAAAGTTACATAGTATTCTAATAGAGGTATAGTTCTTCAAAATAGGGGCAAGACATGTTTACTTTGTCACATCAGTTATTATAAGAGTTAGGTAATCGTCATCAGATTAAAAGATATTTTTCGTAGTTTGGATCGATTAATACTTTAATATACCTGTAATAAATCCTATGCCAATTTTAACACACTATCTTGATACTGTTGGGGCAGGGAAAGTTAATTTTGTCACATTTTCAATGTCTTTGACAAATAAATCTAAATTTTTAAAATTGAGTTCTTATGTTCTGGAAAATATTCTTCCAATCGTTTCTGAAAGAATGTTGAATTCTAATAGAGTTATAGATCTTCAAAATAGGGGCAAGACATGTTTACTTTGTCACATCAGTTATTATAAGAGTTAGGTAATCGTCATCACATTAACATATATTTTTTTGTAGTTTGGATTGATTTATATAGGTAATAAAGCAGCCTATGCTAATTTTTACACACTATCTTGAAATTGTTGGGGCATGAAAAGTTAATTTTGTCACATTTTTAGTGACTTTGACAAATTTAACCTAAAATTGTTAAACTTAAGCTCTGATGTTCTGGACAATATTCTAATAGAGGTATAGAATAAAGATCTTCAAAATAGGGGCAAGACATGTTTATTTTGTCACATCAGTTATTATAAGAGTTATTATAAGAGTTATTATAAGAGTTATTATAAGAGTTATTATAAGAGTTATTATAAGAGACTATTTCATTCTATAATCATTGTTTTTAATCTATTTACGATTTCGCATAATTTTTTGTGACAATGTTAACATCAACTGATCTTAACTTGCATCAACTACATTGTCATCATATAAAACTTTCCCGCCTTTCAAACCAAAATCAGATATAAATAATTCGCCCAAAATTTTAAATTCCATATATTGTGACAGAATTAACCTCATTTCCCAATAACCGAGTGCCTGTATTAGCTAACTATTCAAAACAACATATTTTAGGGCTATGATTGGTAGAGCAACCATCAAATAATGAGTTGAAAGGGTTTTTAGGACACCTCACAGTAGAATAGAGGTATGGTATCATGAGTGTGACAAAGTTACCCAAATATTGCCTTGTAACCGTTCGATCCGTGCCCATTAACCAATGTTGTATCATAATTGTTAGATTGACCTAATTTACTATATTTCAGACCAAGGAATGATAATTAGACAACTGCAGTTAACTAAGTCACACAAAATGTGACATTTGAAACATTATAGTGCCTAACAACAATAGATTTTCTTTCTGAGCGGTGCATATGGGAGTATGGGTTACGTGGCTAATGTTCAGAACTTCTGAACGTGCTAGGTTAATAGATGTCAAAATTAAGCCACTATCGTCAAAAACGCTATTATTTTTGTTTACCAATATCCTCAAACTCAAATGAACGTGTCCATATACAATTGTAATCATCAGTTAGTTGAAGATAGAACATCTTCTATATCAGCAGAATCAAGGTTGTTCAACGATACAAGTCCCATTTTACACCATAATCTCGCTGCAGCCTGAAAAAACTAAATCAATTATAATTATCCTAACCTAATTCGTTTTTACAAGTGTTGTATTAATCTTAAAACAAGTCAAACAAAATTGACAATACTATTATTTCTTTATTTGTAAGTCTGATTAAAAAGTACTTCTTACCACATCAGAAGACTGCTGAGTGTATCTAGCGAAGCTAATGAGAGTGGCAGCAGCGTGTGCTGCCCCAATACCCAGTGCTACAGTCCGACCTGTGTATTGACAGTCTTCTAATGCTGCCTCTAGTTGTGTGAGATACTGACCTAGTTCAGTCAGAGGAACCTTCAGACAAAATCATGGTCAGACTGTAATTTGGGTAATATATTCAATAAGGGTAACTATAGAATAAAGCTCATCATGCAATGTCGCTCATTCCTAATATCAGGGATTTTAAAGTTAAACGCGAAGTATCTTTGGAAAGTTAAAATGCGTCAGTATTGCTGCAGTACTAGATGTATACGCAATAAACTGACCTCTAATGGCTGGCAGGGTTCAAGATCGCCTGAATACTGATGACCACCTAACACGCACCAACCCATAGCCAACTCGCGGATATAGCGGAACACATCAGTCTGTGACGAGCCCCTGGACAGTGCTCGTATTGTCTCCGCGGATAAGACGTCAGATGTCCCTTCCCAGACGGGTAGTACGCACGCATCCCGGAATAAACCTGGTAGCCCTGTATCCTGGGAGGATTGGACATGTTATGTAAGGAATTAAGATGTATCTTAGTTTAAAATAAGAAAAACTAAGATACTGTTTCAACATTTGCATTCGTCATAATAAGTATTTCCTGACTACAATAATTAGCATTACTACACCATTACAACACTAAGTAACAACTACTAACAACTAATTACTAACCTCCATGTATCCAGCTCCCCCAAAAGACTCGAGCCCTTCCCTCAGCGTGGTAACAGCTACCTGTGCTGTGTGTATCTTTACAACTGCTGATAGAACTCTACCCACACTGCTTGATAGTGAGGGTGTTTCCTCCTGGATGAGGAAAATTATGATATTTATTATAGTAGAGGGATGTCTTGTGTCTACTATAGTAGAGGGATGTCTTGGGTCTACTATAGTATAGGAATGTCTTGTGTCTACTATAGTAGAGGAATGTCTTGTGTCTACTATAGTATAGGAATGTCTTGTGTCTACTATAGTAGAGGAATGTCGTCCAATTATATTTTACCGAGTTCTCCGAATCAGAAAACTAGTGCTTTTCTTGATATTGCTCTATAATTACATTTATATCTCTCCCGGCCATTGGTTCCGAGATTTGGTTGATCTTTGTTTTCTTGGGCGCCCTCCTTGAAGTCTTGTTGTTGTACATACATCTCCTGATTTATCCTGTATTTACCTGTTTATTTCATTTTCTGGCGTGAGCTGTCCGCCATGCTACGGTACGAGAAACAGCGGCAGTGCAAGATCCGGTTCTAAGAGATTTTTATGGTCGCGAAGAATCTCGCCAGGCTACACTGCGTCGGTGGGAGAACTATTTAGGTTCATGACATCTAACGCCCGCCCAATCATGGCAGCCCCATGACAATAGGTTGATGTCCGACCCGTTGTCCTTGGCCTATCTCGAGTCGTTGGGTCTAGGCGGAAACGCCGAAAGGGATGATGTTACCTTCTTGACTTAAACGTAATGGTAAATTTTTCTCAAAATCCTTGAATAAATGGGTAACCCCTATAGTTACTAGTAATGTCTTTTCTAGCACTTTTAGATGTTGCAATGGTAGAGGTTGTCTCACTTGCAACAGTTTTAATCCTGTTAATACATTTAGGAGCAGTACTTTTAATAATGATTTTATCTTTGGACATACAAATTTTATATTTAATTGTAAAACTAATAATGTTATTTATGTTATTACCTGTTCTACCTGTAAAAAACAATATGTTGGAGAAACAACTCAACCACTTCATAAAAGAGTCAATGGCCACAGAAATTGTGTCAAAGCCAAATCATCCACATTTTTATATGAACATTTTAATATTCCTGGTCACGTCTTCTCAGATGCTTCCATACAGATTGTAGATTATGTTGATTCTGACATGTCCACTGATGTCAAAAATGATTTACTTCTCCTGGAGGATTACTGGATAGAGAAGCTTGGGACAGCATTCCCTCTTGGTCTTAATGACAAGAAGAAAGGAACGGGCAACATCTCCCAATATCGGGTTATGAATTATTTTAGTGGACAGATTGCTCGATACAAACGTGGCAGAGGGAATGGAAAGAAGAAAGTTCAGCCTAAGAAGTCTCTGGATACCATAGAGTCTGATATTAACAGGCTGAAAGATAACATCTCTTCAGAACATTCCATATACAAAACATTAAAATGTTATAGCTTATCAGATTTAGACACTCTCTACTCTTTGAGTCAATATAATTCAGGATTGATTTACAACGTATGTTCCTCTTTCTGTTCAACATTTTCCCCCAAATACCATCAGAACAAATCTGAATCCAGTAATAGAGAATTTATAATTGTTCCATTTAATTGCAAATTCATTGATAATCTTAACCTAAAATCTATTTTCTCTGACACTTCAGTCATTGATTTGCTTCCCATTTTGATTCAGTCTTTTACACCATTACAGATTTATTATGAGTATAATGATCCTATAAGTCTTTCTATTTGTAACTATGCTTCATTCTTAAAGAAACTTTCTATTTCTGATATTAAATCTATTTTAGGTAGTCCATGCGATTGTCACTCCTCCCCTTTCAATTATCCTCCTCATGGACATGTAGTTACTGGTAATTTAGATATTGTTGATAATGTTGAACTTAGGGAAGTACTTTCCTACGGTTGTAAATACAGAATTCCCACATTTAAATCTCCAGATGAGATATATATGTCAGTTACCGAAGCTGTCGATAAATTTATAAAATCAAAAAGTAGAAAGTACTGTCAAAAAGAAGTAAAGTTCAGCGATTGGAAGGAAAAAGTGTTATCAATAGTTTCCAATCGTATTGAATATTACAAGAAAAACTTTCCTGAAACATTTGAAATAAAAGAAAACACACTGGAAAAAGATGATGTTAAAAGAAGTCTTAAATTGCCGAAAAGTAAATACATTATTTGTAGTATCGACAAAGCTTCTGGTAATTTTTCATTTATTTGTAAAAAGTTTTATGTAAAAACTCTTGCCAATGAAATGGGTTTTGATCCTAATACTCTAGAATGTATAGGTAATGATACATATAAACCCTGTAGCGAAGACGAGACTCATTATGTCAATAAAATATCTGAGAGTCTAAAGGAGAGATTTAATGTACAAGTTGAAGATAAAAACTTGCGACTAGCACGCATCTTCTGGAACCCTAAGCTTCATAAGAACCCTTACAAGGCGAGGTTCATTGCAGGTGCCCGTTTTTGCGTTACGAAACAACTTAACGTCCAAGTTAACTGTTGTCTGAAACTTTTGAGGAAATACTTCAAGAAATACTGCGAGGCAATCTACAACAACAGCGGTATAAACATGTTTTGGAGCATAGATTCCTCAAGTGAATTCCTTGAAGCTATCAAAAATAGCGATGTTTATAATATACAAGTATATGATTTTACTACTCTTTATACCAGATTAGACTTGATTGAAGTAGAGAATATGATTAATGAAGTTGTTGATTTAATATTTTCAGACCGTAATAGATATATTTGTATTTCTAAAAGAGACAGTAATACATGTTTCTTTTCCAATAAAACCTATGATTGTCATGCCTGCTTTAGTCAAGATGACCTAAAAGAGGCTGTTAAATTTATTATTTATAACACTTATGTCGTCTTCGGTGGGATTGTATTCATACAAACCAAGGGTATTCCTATGGGTGGAAATTCAAGTTCCCCTATAGCTGATCTCACTGTTGGCAAAAAGGAATTTAATTATATGAAACGTTTACTTCAGGAAAAGAAAATGGGATTAGCAAAGATATTATCCAATAATAAACGATATGTTGACGATTTATCTATTATTAACTACCTTTACTTTCATAAATTGATTAAAGATATTTATCCTAATTCATTGGAGATGGAGCGAGCTGGTTCCAATAATAAAATCATTAACTACCTTGATTTAAATATTAATATTTCCACAGAAGGACTAGAAATATCAGTGTATAACAAAACTGATGATTTTAATTTTCATGTTGTATCCCTTACATTTCCTCACAGTAACATCCCAACCGAGGTTGGCTACAACGTTTTTTCAAGTCAAGTTCTTAGATATGGTAATGTTTGCACTAGATTGGATATCTTTACCTCCCATCTTCACAAAATATTCAAAATTCTAATTGATAGAGGATATAGCCGTGATAGACTGATTAAAGGCATTAAACGTTGTCTGAGGAAATATGATAACGTTTTCAGGAAGTTCGGTATTCTAGATGACCGTAACATTATTAAAGAACTCCCCTGATATCTTTTGATTTATTGAAACACGGGTACTAACTCTGCTAAACTGAACAAATTCTGAAACTTAGGTGAATAAGTGTACAACGTGCTAAACCGAAGTTCAGACTGACCAGTGAAAATGGGCGAGCGTACCAAGTGTCATTTTAATTAGAAGTTTTAGTCAGTGATTTATTATTGAAGCTTGTAATTACAATATCTAATGCTCCTATAAATACTTTAATTAATTGTTTGTCCCGTTATTCTTTTTCCTTCCTCTTTTCCTTGTCATCCCCTTTAGTTTTAAGATTCTTGCTATAAATGGCTACAGCTAACACTATTAATGCTAAGTACCAAACAACAAGTGGGAGGTGGATCGTTGGTACCATTAAATCGATTTAACACCGCAATTCCAGTCGCAAGCCTGGGACCACTACTAGCATAGTCACAACATCTACAAAGCTGCCATATAGCCTGACTGACAATTTTCTCGACTGACTGACAATGTTTCTTCTTTTTCCCCATTTAGAATACAAAGATTAGTACATTTTAGCTTATGATTAATATTATATTTTTACCTATAGTTTACTTAGATTAATAACTGGATAGAAAATCAGGGATAACCAACCTTTGCGTTCAGAATCAGGGCTAAGTCCACACTCTGAAGGATTAAAGCTCGAGAAAAGGTCTCAAGCTTGGCAAGTAATGTCTTGTGAAGGGGCAGTTTGTTTATGGTGTGCCCAAATGCTGAGCGGGACTCCGCATAGCTGTGTGCTAGTGTGGTCACGTGACGTAGGTAGGAGATAGCAGAGAGTGCGTTGTACAGACGTGTCACCTGAAACATGTTGCAATTTTGATTATTTAAGAGGTAAAAGAAAGTTTCACATGGCCTGGAGAGTTACTCAATTTTCCAAGGCTTTTTCGGTAATTTGAAATTGCACGTTAAATTTTAAATTCGGCCAGTTGAAGTTTTTCCTTTTTAAAAACTAAATGTCGGCCATTTACTTGAAGCATAGGTACAATGTTTGCTATGCCTCTCTCGGCAAGAAGTAAAGCTGGCACACCGTTTAGTGTTAACTCCGCTGTTGGAAGTTGTCGTGTACCTAACTTTTCCTTTAACTTCTCTATCTGTATCGTACCGTCATATTCTGGAAATATACGGAATGTTGCTTAATGCTTATTACCAATAATGAGCAATTAATTTGATTATAATCATGAAATTAGGACATGCAGTAAAAGGTTCTGACTTAAATTAGATCCCGAAAAAAACAGCCACTATGAACCACCGAAAGAACAAGAGCACAAAGTTAACACAAACCTTGTGGTAAATGAACAAGGAACAGCGACAAGTTCTCATCGTATCTTGCCAGAACCAGAGCAACCTGGCAATCAATGGCGGAAGTGTAGAATTTGTTGCCGTAGAGTCTGAGTACACCGTGCTCGTCTCTCAGTGCAACTGTTTGTGTGGAGCGGGTCACGTCCGAACCTCCAGCTCTCTCTGTCATCCACTGTCCTGGAGTGAATTGTTTGTGGGTTAGGAATTTGAATTCTTACCTATTCTTAAATTGATTGTTAAGAGATGGGAAATCTCTCACTTCTAGCCACAGATAATCTGATGGGAATGTTTTTTGAAGAGTAAAACAATTTCATGCTAAGAGATCAATAATGCTGAACATTTTGTTAAACAATTTGCAAATTATTTGCTGAGTATCTCACTTTATAAGAAAAAACCTGAGGTCCAGAAGTTTTCAGGATTAGTTGAGGTTAGATTTGATATGGTCTGAGACACTGTCGAAATCCACTCAGCGCTGCACACCGAGCATTCACCTTAAACAAACAGTACATGTGAATTGTGAAAAGTTAATTTCAATTCAACAAATATAATTTAGCACCAAATCAAATACAAGAGGCAGAGTCTCATTTCAATCTGATTGCACGACAAGTTTAGGATTTGAAACAAAGAAAAAATCACCAGGAGCACAGTTCTGGTGAAATTTAAGAAGCTTTGAGAGAGTGGACGCTGCACCATCAGTCATAGCAAGGGGACAAGATACCATACCACTAACCGAACTGAACAAAATTAGCTTGATACTCTGCCACACCTCTCTTAGCTCCTGAGAAGATGTGTGATGATAAATGGTGAAGCAGGATTCAGGAACCATATTATAAATCAGTGATAAGTGAGCGTGATCATGCACCTATCAGCTATCTGCTTTGACATATATTATAGTGGTACTATCGGTTGCAGAATTACAGCTCAAGTTTCACACTGGAAATTTAAAATGTTACAAATCCAGCAAAACTCACATGATCACTGCTTAGATCGTGTCCAATAGCAACAAGACCTTCAGTACTGGCAATGTTGTGTAGTTCTTTCCAAGAATCACATGTAATAACTCTGTCTATTCGGCCACCCCATCCATCTAGTCTGGAAAGAATATAGTTTAATATAATGATAGGGAAAAATATAGAAGAAAAGAAATAATCTTGTATCACCATAATACTGCTTCAGCTAAATAGTAGTGGTAAGTTCATGATGTTTTTACTTTATATTGTGTTTAAATTAAGGAACTGTATTTTAAATACTGATATGGTAAATTGTAACATCAGACTGCACCTTTGAAGTTTTGGTGGATACATTTCGCAATCAGTAGCAAGTTTGTTGAGTTTTCTGTACTGCAAACCAAACTGATATAAATCATTATTTGGAATGGTGGGGCTGACACCTCTTTGTTGGTAAACAGCAGAAATTAGTCTTGGTAAGATCGAGTCTGTTATAAAGGCATTTCCTGGTATCTGAAATGGCATCAGAAGAGTCATTCAATTGCAAAGAATATTCACTAGTACAGATAATAAATTGCGAATGTTCCCGTTTGTGAAAACAGTTGTACAGAATGATATAATATGAAGGAATTGATTATATAATTATTAAGCTTAACTCATACCACTCCACAAACCTTTGGTGGTGAAACATAGTGTAATTGTCTGAAAGGAGACAAAACAGCGGGTAACCGAATGCTAATCATGTCATATTCCTGGCAGCCATCTCATCATCATAAATCAAATTTTCATCCCAGACATACCTGGGGATTAAAAAAAACACAATGAGCAATTCTATGGTTAAAATCTCTCGTAAGATTCTTTATGCAACAAACTTCATCATGTGAAATAAGATGGTACAGTGTAAACTGTATAGGTAGTAATATAATCTTGTTCGAAAAGAAGAAAAGAATAAGGTTCAAGGAATAGCCGATGCCCGAAAGTAGTAATAAAAAAGGTTTAAAAACCTACCTAGCTGCAAAATACTGCCTTATAATGAAAAATCGTTGGATCTATTGGTGACATTTTTAACATTATACTGTATAACAACAATACATTTTCTTTCTGAGTTAACTCAGCAAACTATGCATATGGGAGTATGGGTCATGTGGCTAATGTTCAGAACTTATGAACATGCTAGGGTAATAGATGTCAAAATTAAGCCACTATCGTCGAATAGTAAGTAAAATACAATTTTTATTTTCCACAGAAGAATCAATACATATTGAATTATAAATATCCGATAATTCCATTAATAATCATTAAAAGTTGCTTTGTCATTTGTAAAATCAAAAACGAAAAGCCGTACGCTGAATATATACATTAAAAATACATTATTTTTTATTGTTTACCAATATCATCAAATTGATATGAACGTGTCCATTATATAGTAAGATGTATGATTAGCAATCTAACACAAAACAACGAACTACCGATAAATACAATGCTACTGTAAAATATTAAGTATTAAGAGCATGGTTAACACTGGTCAATGACCAGGAAATTTCATTATAGATAATGCAATGCTTCCAAAAATTAAACAGAGTGCATTTTTTTATCAACTTCAGACCTGCAATTATAATGCCCCTCCACAGTCATGTGGTCTTCCAAAGTGTTATACAGATTCGAAAATGAAATCATTTCATCATTTTTAGTCCTATTTACTGAGTCTGAAACAAATTTGTCTTCTGGATAATGTTTTTTTAAACCGTTAGCATGTCTTTTCCAGTCAAGATAGATGTCAAAATCTCGCGTTATAAATATCACGGAGCAGTATGCCCGAGCTCTTGACACTGTTATGTAAAGTTTTGACAACAGTTGATCCATCATGTCATCTGAATTGGACATCACATGTCCAGGTGAGGAAGTTAACCAATTCTGTGAACAGAACATCCTCCTCGAAATTTCCACAATGCCTATAACTGCTGGCCACTCAGCAGAGAATGTTTCATCAAAATTGTGAACAGAAACATTGATTTTGTTTGCTGAAAACGAATCTAAACAACCGAGTACCTTTTCACACTCTTCCTTCCAATTTATTGCGTCATCTGGATGTTCTGGTCGGATGCAATTCGGGAAGATACTACTTATCGAGATTCCCTCTGAAGCCTGACTTGTAACCACTTCAAATCTTCGCTCTACGGTTATGTTGCGATCAATCACTATAGCTATATTGCCTGAACCAAGTTTCGATAATTCTGCAGCCAAAATTTTGCGTGCTTTCGCAGTTATCACGGTTGTATTTGACCAATGGGATCCTAGATGGTATAGCACTGGTTTTGGGCCATGGATAAAATGTCCAATTTCTTGCTCAAGTGACATGTAACTAAAAAAAGTTTTGAATTCTTCATCAGTCGGTATGTGATCCGCATGAATACTAGCACTACCACGTTCATCTTGATATTCTGAAAGTATTTGTTTTTCATTTTTCACTCTCAGCATCCTTATAGATGACAACAGTTCGGCTATCTGACGACTGTTCCTTAATACATTTGGTAGACACTGAAAGCAGTCTTTATTTTTAACATTATTCATGACTTCTCTCATCCTGAAACTAGTCCGTAGACTTTGAGTTAAAAATCCATCCTGGAGGATATCGTAGGTCACCCAAAACAGTCTCTTTGAAATAGAGTTGAGCTCAGTAAATACGATACTGTAGAGATCATTGGTCGAGTTGTAGCCCATTCCAGCTGTTAAACCATGGAAATCGTCCAAAAAGACATGATAATCTGTCTTCAATATAGCCGTGATTGATTCGAGTCTGTAAGATTCATCTACTTTCAGTTTGCCTTTCACAAAATCTCCTTTGTAGTGTACAATAAATACTCTGGATTGTGTTTCTATCTCGAGAAGTGCTTCATTGACGTTTTCATACAAGACGGAGCTTACATTTGCATTTTCTAAATGTTGCTGGTAATATTTTGCTACAGTTTCGTTGAGGACCACGACAACCACTTTTTTCTCAGAATTCTTCAATAACTCCACTACTTTCCCCATTATAAGCAATGTTTTTCCGGACCCCGCCGGGCCATTAATCCAAAGCTTCTTTTTCTCATTCGTCAGCACCGACTTTTGGCTTTTTGTTATGAATTTGATATCCAATTTTTGCAAAGTAATGGGTGCCTTTACAACAAAAGAGGATGCAGGCTGTTGATTTATATTGACTCTTGAGATTTTTGATATCCTTAATAGACAATCCAAATCCTTGATAGTCTCAGACAAGTCGACATTCTTCAAATTTATTCTGTCGTTTATATCGTCATAGTACCACAGCCCCAACAAAATCAACATCAACCTTTCGTGAACTGAATTTTCTTGACACGCCTGTAAACGTTGAGACAAATTTGAATTCAGCTCTTCAAGGTCTTTCATGAACAAAATGCATTCTTTTTCTTCGGGTAGTAGCTTTTCGTAAAATGGAAATTTGCTGATTATACTTTTGTCACCATTGCTGAACACAGTAAAATCTAAAACTTTTGGAGCTTTCACTTTCATTCTCTTGCATATTTCGTAAATAAGATCTTTTGTTCTTTTTCGTTGCTTTTTAGAGTCCTTGTAGTTCCGTTCAAAAGTTTTATTTGGGTCCTTTGATATTTCCCAAATAGGTACTTTAACCTCCAAAACAGCTATAAATGAATCTTGTAGAACAAGGAAATCGCATTCGCCTTCCTCCTCTTGATCTTTCTTCTTGCACTTGTCTGAATGACCTCTCACAAAAAGGTTATATTGTTTGTGGGTATAGCTGAACCCGTGGAAAACCATCAAGCCATTATTCTGGTTCTCCAAAACTTTGTAAACCTTAACTTCACCTTCATATTGTCTTTGCTTAATGAATTCTTTTTGTTCTTTCGAAGTCATGGTCTCGATTGTTTCTGGAAATTTGTCAATATTTTTGGAACACGGAGCTAGGGGAAACATCAGAGTCCTTTCTCTTTTAGTGCAATACTTATCTCGCATTTCCTCTCCTGCCTTCAAAATTCTGTTTACTGTATTGCTTGTTTCCATGCTGAAGTTTTGATTTCATTATACTGTAAATGGATTTAAGAACACACCGAAAAGCACCCTACTAGACATGCAGTTAAAGTATGACACACTCAGTTGGTGTGACCTAAATTTTTTCACAAATGAGCTTAAGTTATAATTGCAAACTGTTAGTCACCTGATTAAGCAGTGTGAGGTTCTTGTAAGTGCACTATTCAATGAAACCAGGTAATGAATGAAGAACAACTTACAATGAACTGTATTACATGGAATAACCTAAAGGGGATGTCGCTAGATAACAGTATATAAAATAGGCTGACATCACACCCTCTCTTCAAAAGTTAAAAAAACCCAATTCTATATAAAAATTTCAAACCCAGTTAAAATCGTATAAGGTTAACAATGTTCAATAAATTAAAAGAATTAATAAATAGCATCAGTTTGTTTGAGTCAATTTCAAATACCCCAAAGATATCGAAAAAATAAAATAATTTTAAAATATGTTGATAAATCTCTCAAAATCAAAAGTGTTCTCATACATTCTCGAAAACGTGTTCAATAAACATTAAACACCATATCAAAATAGGTCAAGAACAATCATAAATAATTCAATAACTCCTAAAAACCATATAAATCTGGCGGTACAAACAGGTTTAGAAAACTATCAAGGTATCAACTAATAACATTAAACACTATTGATTACAGTCATAATAAAAAGTGTTTATAAATTCAAAAGTCTATTCAATCTGGTCAATGGGTCTATTACCTATTACAGCTTTAGAGACTCTGCCTGAGCGTGTAGCATTAGATGAAGTAGGTATAACCTCTGCAGTAGCGACCTCTTCCGTAGTTTCGGTACTCTCCTCAGTAGCGATCTCCGTCTCATTAATGGTATCCTCAGGATCCCTTAGGCAATCCTCTATTGCTTCAGGGCTTTCTGACAGAACATGTTCCCTAAATCTCCGCATATCAAGGGTGTCTATTAGTGTCTGATCCAAAAGGTTTTCCACTGGTGATGTAGGTGTAGTAGATATCAGTAGTGTAGGATCAGGAGCCTTTGTAGTACTGGTAGTGGGTAACGATGGCATGATGATCTCATGGAGTCTTGGTGTGTTTGTTGATTCCACCTCTTCAGTATCTGTTGATGTTCTGCTTGCAACAGGTTCTTTTCTGGTGCCTGCGTCCATCATCAGGTTACTGTGATAAATTCTATGTTTACCCTTAGAATCTGTGATTTCCCAGTTGACATGGCTGAGTTTCCTAACAATGTGGAATGGTCCATCAACCCATTTAGGCGAGATCTTATTATGTTTACCATGTGTACGCTTTATTAGCACTCGGTCTCCTTGCTTCCACTCCTTGCTCTCCTTTGAGGCATTCTTGTCATGTTGAATCTTGTATGCTTTCTTGGCCATGTCACGATTGTGATTAGCTGCTGCTAAGATCTCTTCTTGACTGAGCTCATTGGTAATACTTGGTAGTTGGAAGAAATTAGCAACTGCTAGTCTAGCATCTTTACCAAAAGTACACGAGAATGGTGACGCCTTAAGCGACTTGTTCATTTGACTGTTCATTTCTAACACAGCTTCTGGAAGAAGGGTATCCCAATCTGTCACAGGTGTCTGCCTGGCTATTATCATAGCACGCAGTCTGTCTTTAACGGTTTGAATTGATCTTTCAGCCGATCCATTCCCCTGTGGGTGGTATGGGCTTGAGTGGCGCTTCTCGATACCAAGCTCATCACACAGTTCTTTGATGGCTGATTTGTCTACATTAGGG